CTTTAAAAAAGAGAATGATAAAACGAATGTAATTTTTTTGAAATAGTTCTAGTTTATATTTTTTAAAACTCTTTCACTATCATTTATGGTTAATTACTTGTTTTCAAAATAGAAAATATTCTCTGTACTTCTTATTCTTAATGAAAAGAGGAAATTTATAATTGGAATCCTTAATAACTAACTCAGCAACTTCCTTTTACCTCTTTTATGTGTACTCGTTTTTCGTCCTTTTCTCATGTCTATGAAATTTACCAACGATTCTGTCATATAAAAGCAGCAAGTTAAACGTCAGAGAAACTAAAAACCTACTACTTTTTTTGACATGCTTTTAGAGAACAAACAAGTCGACAAGAAGAATAGTAATGTTAGATATTTCAAAGCTAGACCATTAATGCAACCTTTTGGTATTTTATATACCGAGAAAAGTTTCAAATTCTTTTAGTGCGATGATTAAAATGTGAATGTGAGTGTGTTTATTCAGTTAAACGTGAATGTGCTATAAGGAACTAATGCTGAAATTTCAATTTTTAAAAATAAATACAACTTTTGTTGAAAAAATGAATAAAATTCTAAAAATTAATCAACTATTTGAATATTGAGGAACTTTTTTAAGTTTGATCGTTCACATAATTCAAATATTTGATAGAATAATCAATTAATATTCAGATTATTTTCAATTTATTACCCGAGACAGAATTTAAAATATTTTTTTAACTTCAAAGTCTTAAATTACAACTTTGAAATTCGAATTACAATTATATCACCATACATATAATCTAAGCCCATTTTTAACTTCAATTTTGTTGTTTCGTCCGCTTTAACAAAGTTGAGGTTCAAAATGGATTTTATAATATTTATTTTGAACCTCAAAAATGTATCAATGCCATACAAATAATGTTTTAAAAATTTATGATGACATTGATGACTAAAATAAGATCTTCAGATCAATTTAAGCCATCAAAATCTTCAATGAAATTGATGATTCCGAAAATGGAATTAAATTATAGGCAGCAATTGAAACATCAAAAAAATTGAAGATTTTAAAGTTGAAACCGAACTTTAAATTTCGTCTTGGGTAATGAAATATGACAGTAATTTTATTCAAAAATTTTTATTGTAAAAAAAGTTATTAATTACTTGAGAGTTGTCAACAATTGAAATAAAGTATATAATTAAATGAAAATAATTAATAACTTTGACTTTCTATCATACTATTCGATTAGGCTTCTATGGAACATATAATTGATTTAGGTTGAATAATTGACTTAAAAATTATAATTAAATCTTTTAGTTGCTACTATTATAAAAGCGTCAGGAGAAACTTGTTAGTTAAATTGACGTCTATCTTGTTGGAGTTTATGAAACATTATGTAAGAAAGTTTGCTAAAGAAATTACTTTTAAAATTTTTTCTCATTCATCTATTAAATTGGTTAAAAAAATGGCACACTTAAGTAACAACAAATTATTTGCTTGAACACTAAGTAAGAGGACAATATTATACAAGTAAATAAGTTTGACTATTTTTTATCTTAGTTAAATAATAGCTGACATATTCATAAAATTCAAATAACATTTAAATATAGAAGACTTACTGAGTACTTATTTCTGTAAAGAGCACTAGGAGCTACTCGTTTACTTAGGCAAAGGAAAAAGAGACAATTGGGTTAAAAAAATAATGTACTTGGTGCGAATTACCAGTATAACTATGACTGTTACAAGTAGATTAAAATTCTTTTTAAAATATTTCTTGTAAGTGGATCATGACTGAACCACTTCATTTTGCATAAAAGAATGATGAAAAAAAGTATTCCACGTTTTCTCTCATGTTTATTGGCATTATAAATTAATTGAAATAATATTTTATACACTCGTATATTTAACTAACTATAAAATCTTTTAAATCAATTTTCAAACCAGGTTTCTAATAATGATGTTGTTTCATTTGTGGTTGACATTGACATTGTTTCATTAAATGTTGGCATCGATGTTGTTGTATTATATATTTTCATTGATGTTGTTTTATTAAATTTTGATATTGTTTCTGTAACAATGAAATTCACAATCAATTATTTTTGCTCCAATTCATAACTTTTCTGATATTACTCATTTTAGCTTACATACCATTGAGAATAGTTGAATTATTGGAATTATTTTGTCTGAAGGATCCACGATCAAAATGAGCTTGAATTAGTAGAATCATATAAGTGAACATTATTCGGGAACCCTAAAAAAATACTATCATTTATTTTTTTGTATCTTCATAATTACCCTGCAAATCGTACTGTTTTAAAAAGAAGTGCATTAAAAGTTACTACAATGTTAATAAAATAGGTAACGTCATTTTAAAACACTACGATTTGTAGTGTAGCTAATAAAAATTATAAAAGCAAGAAATTATGTTTTACCGATGCTAGTAAACTTCTATCAAGTGTGAATAAACCACATGCAGTAAATTCTATCTGCCTTCTGTGTAGTAACTCCATGGAAAACTGTTCCAACTATTGTAAGAAAATAAATTAATTATTTACTATTTATGAATTGATCAACTTTTACAAAAATCTTTTACAAAAAACCCTTAATGCACAAAGATGAGTATTATTAGTTCAAAGTCTACATGTATCTGTGGCATGGTAGTATAGTTTCTCCAAGTTGATCAACTATGTTCTTAGCTATGATGATAATCACTTGAGCTATTTCAAGATCATCAAGTCGTAACACAGTTAGTGTAGGAATCTTAGCTAACAACACTTAAGTACCCTCGTAATGTTATTATACCAGGGCTTTTTTTTCTATTCTATCTTACCTCAAACATAACTTTTGACTTCTCAGGATACACAGACATTAGTTGATAAATAATATCACTGGTTCTTTTAATCTGGAAGAATTAATCATGAACGAATTAGTAAAGTTCAATGTTTAAATGAAAATTAAGATTAATTATATATAAATACTTACTTCATTAAATAGATCATTGATGGAACCTGTTACAATCACAAGATGAAATATAACATTTAGAGTTCTTAAAAACCAGTAAAATGAATCAACATCGAATTCTCGTTTCTCAAAAATTATAGTTATAACTAATTTATAAGTAGTATATATCAAATTACCACATGATGTACAAATGGCAAATAGAATTGACCAGGAATAAAATTCCAAAAACTCATAGGAAATTTCACCTAAGGTTGATTGCATCTTTCGGCAAAAAATAATTTTTTTACGAGCTGCATTAATATTTGTACAACATCGATTACTTTGTACATTTGAGTCATCTATCGGATCTAATTGACATTTTGCAAATAATAATAAATGACTATTAATGCTGTGATAAACTTTTTGGATGTATGTGAATGAAATAACATATTGAAGCATGACATTTGCAATAACAAAATGTAAAATATTCACAACTATCCGATCATAAACCATATATGCATTTAGAAAAATTGTCGTTGAACAATAGAGACTGTAATATAATGTAAATAAAATAGTAAGATATCTTTTTATTTCAAAATGATAAGTGTCACCTAGTGTTTTTTTCAACAAACGATTTGTATGTAACAATTTATTAATACTAGTTACTAATTTTTGTTGATTAAGAGCAAAAATAATTAGTATAATTGCAACTAATGATTGTGTAAGTATTACATAAACATTTGTTAATATAAATATCAATGGATTGTCTCCTTCCTCTTTAAACTTAATCACGGAGTCCATGGAGTACATGTCATACACTATGATCACCATCAATCCCAACGATAAGAGAATGTTATAGACACTTCCGGAAATGGATTGAGATATTTTGAGCGATATTCTTTTTCCATAATGTGGATTTGAATTAATAGACACTCTAAATGGAGCAGTTCCAAATACTTTGAATAAAATCGCAATTACATTTAAAAAAAATAAATCACACATTGACGTTAAACGTTTGAATTGCATTTTCGTACTTCAACTTGGTTCACTAGGGATGTAAATAGTGCTTTAATGGGGACTACGTTTGTTAGAATGACGAGGTGTTTTCATCGTTGTAGCAGGGATGTAGATATTAGAAATTGAATTTCATTTATTTTATGGGTTTATTTATTATTCATAATTTCAGGGGAAATTTAATCTAAATTTAATATTATTAAAGGATATTAAGGTGTTTTTGTGATTAAATTCAATGTTTTATAAAAATAATAAAGACAAACATTTAAAAACAAATAATTAAAAAAACTCTTTTAGTTTATTTATTAGAAAGACAATATTTTATAAATGTAATTTATGTATCCATGATTTATTTAATATTGCAACAGTTTTGTAAGCTAGGGGTTGAAAAAATTTGTTACACAGCTGAAAAAAATAATTTTTCATTTAATTTATGGAGTGTCTAAAATCAATATTGATATGCAAATTTCCATAATGTCAGAGTGAAAATTTATTACTGCTATAGATAGTCTATTATAGAGTGGAAACAAGCTATTGATAGTAAATTATGAGTGTTTTTAATGTAATAATTCAAGCAGAGTTAATATTTGAAAAGACTACGAGAGAGGGTAAAATATTGCATATTGATAAAAAGTTATTTCTTCACCTGCTTGCAAGATAATTTTTTCTTCGACATTTTATAAGCTCTGTTTTTTAAAAGTAATGATGTCTTCTTAAAACAATTTTTTTTTTATTAACATGAAATAAAATAAACACAATTTCAGGATGAAAGTTATAATGAAAAATGATAACTTAGAGACTAGGGATGACATTAATTCATGACAGTCTTTATAAAGATTTGTTGATGAAATATAGGATAATGAAATTACTTTTTCCTTCAACTATAACTGAATTTGATAGAGTAATTAAATTGAAACTGAATCAATCCTTTAATTGTTTATACTATGTAAAATTCACCGGACGGAAAGTCATCTTAGTAATTTTGAAATGGTTGAGTTGAAGTTTCTGAAACATGATCAAGTTTGCTGAGAATATCATCTTCACGAATTGCTCTCACTTATTTACTATGTTTCTAATTACCATTAAAGTTATCCTGTTTAGTTGGTTTCTGTTCATAAAATTGGCATTGAATGAGGAGAACTATATAAGTTAAAATGACTCTACCAACCTAAAAATATTGAATTGAAGGTTGAAAATAAGTTCATGTTAACTTGAGTGGAATTTTTATTGAAAGACAATATTCTTACTGATGTTAGTAGACTAGCATCTAGTGAAAACAGTCCACAAGCAGTAAATGGCATTACTTTTCTGTGCAATAATTCAATTGAAAATTGTTCCAACTGCAACCAAAAATTTATCTTTGAATATTTTTATCAATTTATCAAATTTATTCTTGATAATACCTCCAGTCTGATTGCAATTTGGCTAGGAAATGCTGCTACGAGTTTGTAAATAATTTTACTCGTTCTTTTCATCTGAAACAAAATTCCACATGGAATTAAAATATATCTGAATATTTAATTTTGAATTAGAAGTGTAAAATTCGTCTAAAAATGTTTGATGATATTTTTTTGCTTCTTTTTTAGTTCGATTGAGTGTACTTATTTTTATTTAAATTTCATAGAATAAAGTACTCACTTCAGTAATGAGATTGGTGACGCAGTTTGTCAACATGACCAATATATAAACGTCTTTAACGATCCTCAAAATGAATTCAAACACCTGTTTTTTTTGCTCTTTCTTTGGTAGAATAAACGGTTTCAAACCCATGAATACATTAAATACTGTACACGAACTTATAAAAGCAATACTTAATAGCAATGGCCAAGAGAAAAATTTCGAGAAATTATGTAAAACTTCTGTAACATTACGTTGCATTTTCCGTATAAATATTAGCTTTGGCAAAACACTATCATTATTGACTGTATTTATTAAAAAAATATTGTTTATAATTTTTTCTTCTTTCATTCTTGATAATGATAGTAGATAATCGTTCATGTTTCGATATATTCCTTGAATGAAACTACAAATAACTACATATTGGAGGACGATGTTTCCAATGACGAATCCAATCCAACGAAAGATGAATTGCAAATGGATTTGATGAGTAAACAGTAAAATACATACTATCATAGCATTGATAATAAAGTATAAAACAAATGTTACTATGATAAATTTTCTGTAGTTCATTGGACAGTGAAGTTTTAATGTTTTTGTTAATTCTTTGTCAAAGTTCAATAAATTATTCAAATGTTTTAATATATTTTCTTGCTTTATTGCATAATAAAGTATCACATAACAGAAAAAAGTAGATCCACTAACTGAGATAGCAATTGTATACATTGTTGACACTTTTTCTGAACCATTCCTCAAATCATTCTGTAAAACATTGATCATATATGCCATTGAAACCATCATAAGTGATGATAAACTCACGTTATAAAGAAAACCAGATTTAGAATATGATAGCTGTAATGACATTTGCTTTCTATTATTACGCTGATTTACTAATGTAGAAATTGTAAAAGGCGCCAGTCCAACGATTTTAAATATTTTTAACAGAGCACCAAATAAAAATGTTTCACATTTTGAAAATCGATGTTCAAAACTTATCATTTTCACTCAATTTTTCTCTAGACTTGATTTTCTTATAAACTTTTTAAGGAAGAATTGAACGATAACTGATATTAGTCTTTGAGCTTGAGTGTTTGATTTTTTTTTGGGTAGGAAAAATATCAGGAATTGGGATCTGTTTATTTATTGGGTTTATTCATTTTTAATGAAGGAATAGTTCAATGTAATTCTTAAGTTTAATTGAATGATAAAATGTAATTAAATATAAGTCTATCAAGTAAATGAAAAATGTTTTTATGCGTTAAAAAAAACGTAAAAGGTTTTCCGATGATTGCTTCAATAATAATAAAGTAGTTCGTTTAATATTAATACTTTTTTAATCATAAAAATATATCAATTATTTTTCCCTTAATTTTAATTTTTGATTAACATATAAATTTGTTTATTTTTAAAAAAATATAGTAGCATTTGAATAACTATACATCATTTAATTGTCCTAGTTTTTTCAACATACCATTATGTTTTTTTTCAATTTGATCATAATTTGTCATCCAGTCTAGAAACTTTTTGACTTTGTAAGAGGAAGGCTATGTAAGTAATCATCACTCGTAGCATCTGCATGAATAATGAATCCTTTGTTAAATAATTATATGAATAAATAAATAAATAATGAATTTTGATCTTGATGCAAATTTTTCTTTGAGTTAAATTTAAAATATTCTCTCCTTACACTTGTTAAAAGGCTCCTATCTAGTGAAAATAAACCATAAGCGGTGAATTTTATCCTTTTTCTGTGTAATATTTCAACACCAAATTGTTCTAACTGTAAATAAATATAATTAATAATGATTTATTCATTCATCAAATTATAATTACTGTTCTTTTACATTAATTAACATGTAGATTATTTAAGGCGCCTCGAGTGGAAAAATATAGGTATATGAAAGTATATGGACCTTTGTGCACTAGTTTTAGGCAAATAAGTAGATAAAATAATGAAATACCTACAGGAAAAGATCCGCGCAACAACAATCTATGGAATGAAACGAGTACGATTGGTTGAAGAATAAGCAAAATATCCGAAATTAAAAGTCTAAAGCGATTTGACAGATTGTTTTTCACATTTCTAACTCCTATTTGTTTACATATGGCCGACCATGTACCTATATTTTTCCACTCGAGGCGCCTTAATAAAATTGTACCTGGAGTTTGAGTTGAGTTGGCTCTGGAGAAACTGATATTAATTTATAAACAATATGGCTTGTTCGTTTAATCTGAAAAAATGAATGCATAATTAATTGAAAATTCTTTGTTTACAAACAAATTTATTATTCTATGAATCTCGAGTACGTGATTGTTTCATTCTGGACTAAAGTGTTCCCTAGAGTCTCGATAAATCGAAGGAAACGTTTCTCTCAACGTTTCTTTTTTCTCTATAACTTTGAGTATAAATTTTCTTGAACTCGAACTAATTACGGTTTCCCTAAATGGCATTTTCGGTACAATTTTACCTTTATAACTCTAACTATAACAGATATAGCAACTTGTGTATTCTAAAGCAATAAAACATAACTCATATACCAAAGTTCTCTAACTTGGAGTCTTTGATATTACAAAACTTTTTACTTAAACCCTTTTTTTTGCTTGATGAATAAAACTTTAACTTTTTAAAGTATATTGTAACTAAATTTTGTAATTAATTCTTACTGATTTATGTTCTTAAATAATTATCTATAGAATAAATACACCAATAGATGGACAGTTGAGTTCAAAATATAAACAAGATTTAAACAATCATTAAGAATATGAATTGAATTTTTTTGCAGAAATTTAATATTTTCCAACTCATCAGACCTTCCTTCAAATAATAAAGAATATCTTATTGCATTTTAATTTTCTATTGTTTATAATTTTAACAATTTGTTCATCTTCTAGACAGTATTAATCTATTGGTTTTGTTACCCTATTTATCAAAATGTTTTAAAAAAACTGAAGTTACATAATTAACTCGACATTAAAACATTTCGCCAGAGGCCATTGGATATTGATCCTTGCATGTCTAAAGATTGTAAAGTACCTCATTAACTGTAAATTAAATCTGTAAGCGATTCACCTATGTAGATAGTATTCAGCATTGTATATTTGTTCATATTATTTTGTATATAAATGTATTTTTGTATATCCCGGTTTTTGGGTGCGCCCAAAGGAGACCCAATTCGAGCCCAAAAATATTGTCCAGGCCTATAACGCGCCCAAAAATATTTTAAAAACTTAGAAAAAAAAAATTATCATAAAAACTTATTATTAAATTAACTTTCGTGCTACAAATTTACACTTTTAATAATTTATTATCATCATTGTCGAATATGATCTTGGAAATGGGCTTGAATTGGACGCGTTTTGGGCCTGGAAAATATTTTTAAGCCCGATTTGGGCGCATTATAGGCCTGGACGTTATTTTTGGGCTTAAATTGGGCTCCTTCATAATTTAGACCTGTGATGGGCTTGTTTTGGGCACTGAAAATTTCTCTAAGCCAAGATGGGGTTTCAGTCGGGCCTGTATTGGGCTTATTTTTCATTTTGGGCTTCTTTTGGGCCTATTTATTTTTACTCGGAATAGCCAAAATAAACCTTGTTTGGTTTAAGGCATTTAATAAAAAAAAAATTTATCAAAATACTTACTTCAAAGATGAGGCTAGTGATACAGTTCGTAAATTTAATTACTAAAAATACATAAAGGTTGTTGTTGAACATGTAATAAATAGCACGCAAATAAAAGAATTCATTCGTTGATAACTTCACGTATTGAATGAACATAAAAGTATTGAAAATCATAACAGTACAAATAAAACAGATGCTCAGTAATAAAGGTAATGAAAAAAGACATAAAAAATTGGTAATAATATCCCACATAATCCTTTGCATTTTTCGGATATAAAAAAGTCTTTTGATAAATATCATATGATTTGATGTATCAATTAAAAAAATTCTCCTTATTTTTGATTCCTTAGACACTTCTGATAATGATGATAAAGAATTATTTATACCACGATACATCTTTTGAATGAATGTTAAAATAAATATATATTGTATCATGAAAATGCCAATTGTTATTCCAACCATACGAACAATTAATTCCACATAGTGTTTGTAAGAAACAATTAGACATGCCGTAATAACGATATCAAGAACTACAAAAATACTAATTGTCATAAGAAGAGATGACTTAAAATTAAAGTGATAGGAATCTTGTAAATTTTTCATTAAAACACTATCGACATAGAGAAGAGTATTGATATTGTTGACAAATTTCTGCTGATTTGAATAATAAATTAAGTTAATAATTATCATGACTAAGATTCCAGCCATAAAAATAAATAATGCATATAAGAAAATCGTTATCGGTATACTTTTCGATATAGCAATTCTTTCCACAGTTATTGCATTCATAACAAATCCAAATAAAATTAATAAAAATACAGATAAAATAATATTGTAAACTGATCCAATAAATGAATAAGAAAATTGCACACATTTTTTCTCTGAATTAACATTTGAATGTTTTGGAATAGATATATTAAACGGAGCCATTCCAAATATTTTGAAAGAAATCATAACTGTATTGAGCAAAAACTTATCACAATTTGTGAATTTTCGTTTCACATTCATTTTATTTATTCCAAGTTTTATTTTTTTTCGATCTAGATTCTTCGAAATAACTAAACTAAATGATATTACCCTAGTTACTAGCTTATATTACAAAGAAACTCAATAAAGTTAATGTTACCCAGTTGATTAACTATTGTTATTGTTTATCTAATAAATTGATTGACTAAAGCTTGAATATTCTTTTCAAATACAATTTATGAAAAAGTGTTTATTTTTGGAAAGCTTGACCTCCTAAAGGAATAACATGGTAATAATAAATTGAATAAAATAGTTCAGTATACATGTAGCGATTTATTATTAATACTTTGAAATATATATGTTGAATATGTACATTGATCTAAAGTTGAATCGACTCATGGAACTTTACTGCGTCAATGATTTGGATATTTAATTAAGTATACTGTACATGCATATTATGGCGTAATACGCCAAATATTCTATTTTATAGGACATCATGTAAATAGATATTAACAAAATTATGCAAGAATAGAAATTTACCAACTGTATGGATGAAGGTTGATATTCACTGATACTATTTGCAAATAATCATCATTAATTATCTATGGATTAGTTTTTTTTATTGAATGGACATATTTCATTATTATAGATAATAAAGATTAAAATAACATATTAAAAAGGTATAGAAGCAAATAAATCATTCATCATCATATCTTCAGTAGGTGTAAATTCTTTAAAGTAGATTGCTTTTGGTGTTGTAACAATAACATTGAAGAAATTTTTCTTTTGCCGAAACAGATTAATGCTAATAATTGGGTCCTCACATATATTTATAACTTTTCTAGGCATTGCATAAAAATCTGTTTTTGTTAAAGTTTTAATATTGTCCAAAAAGTAAATTTCAAGATCACCTAAGAAAATGAATATTATTTTTTTTTTTAAAAGTTGAAATTGTTAAAATAGTCTAGTAAAAATGGGTAGATCTACTGCAAATATTCATGCAATCTCTACAAGAATGAATAAATTCAAATGAATATTAACTTACCAGTGTATAAACCTATAATCAAAATGTTGCAAAGAAATAAAATTGATGAGATTTTTAATCTTCCTGACCTTAAAATTCTGTATGTTGATTTAAAATTTGTCAGAGGATCTACAAAAAAAATTATTCTAGATGATTAACAAGATTTCTCTACACTATAATGAAAAAAGATAATGAATTACTAGTACTATCTCTAAAGCCTCCAACAGATGATGACGATGACGTTGAAGATTGAGAACGTCTATGATCACTATCTCGATTGAGATCTGATACTTCTGCAAGTCTCAAAGGAACAATTCTATCCTTCTGATCACTAGCTTCTTCTTGTAAATTCAATAAGGACCACCATAGATTGATCACCATTTCTGAATCTACAAAATTTTTTAACCTCATTTGAGATCTTGTTTAGATTTTGAATAATTGTTTTTTTTTACCATAAACGGCAAATAAAATTCCAGGCATTGGTATGTAATGTAAGGAATCATCATGTTTAATTATTATATCTCTATCGCAGTCCAGTTTTTTAAAACGTTCTTTTTCATTTCGTGGAATGATTAGAGTAATAGCTCGGACTTTATCTGCAGCAATTTGAATCAATACAGCCAGCTATGTGAATTTATGAAAGTTTTTTATAAAATGACACATTTTGTATAAAATGAACACTTGAATAGAACATATTACCCTGTCCACTTTGAAATCTAATTTAGCACACATTTCCAAAATCTTCATTTGTTGCATTTCATTTTTGTTCAAGATAGTTTTAATTTCAAAAATATAACCTACATTAAGTTTATTTTCTTTCCACATGCATTCATATATTGTTTTAGACGTAGCGACAAATAACCTGTTACTTGTACTGTAGAAAAAAAAAATTTTCTCTGAAGATATTAATCTATAAACTTTTTATTGAGTTATTGATAAGAATAAAAATATTACTAAACTAACCATGTAAAATTTTGTATATTCGTCTGACTTTTGAATGGATTTTCTATTTTTTGTTTTTTGATCACATCAAAATACTTTAAAGTTGATTTCATTGTCAACCTATGTATTAAATGTACCACCAAAATTAGCCGCTTAGAATCTACAATTTTGAATAATATTTGAAAATTATAATGCACAAATATGGTAAATAATTTTTATGAATACTCACATGTAAGCCAGAATTTTATCTTGATAATTTTTTTTAATTTTTTTTTTACTTCATAGAGAAGTGACAATACAAAGATGTTTCTAGGCGTTGGTTTGCTGACTATTCCACTTTCAGAAATGATTATTTTCATTTGTTCATGGCAAGTGGCAATATAAACATCTATATTTAATAGAAAAACAATCTCAGACTAATATTAATATCATTAAATTTTAAAAAATTATTATTGTTGTTGTTATACCATGCATGTCTATGGCACTGATTTCTTCACTGAAATGTTCCATGTCTTCCAAATCATATCTTGCTTGCAAACCCTTTGTTTTCATATTAAAATTCCACTCATTATGAAAAAGAAATATTTTTTTCCAAGATTTTGGCAGTAAAGGACGTGACCAATCTTTCATTGTATTTTGAAATATTATTTCTGTTATATTATACACCCATGGATTTATCTCACTTGTACTACACAACTGTTTCCACAAATTTTTTTCTTCAAATATTTTTTCAATTAAATCACCCCATAAACGAGACACTTGACGTAATCGCAATACTTTTATTAAACTTGAAATCTTTGGGAAAATCATATTTAATATTAATTCAGGTGTCTCCATTTTTATGGTACTCATTGATGTATCATTAGTGAATGAATAATTCAATGTTATAACATTTATATTGTAAAAATGACAAATGTTGCGACGTCAAATTTTGTTATGTCAAAATGAAAAATGTCCCAGTGAATAATTTCTAATTATATTTAATAAACAATTTATATTTTGTCACATTCGTAGATTATTTAATAATAATTTGAAATGTCTAAGAAGGATTAACAGATAAAAAGAATACAGAAAAACATAATATATTATGTAAAAAGCCATTTTTGTAATTAAACTAATGAGAAAATATTATTTTTTCTATAATCATTTCATAATTTCATTATTATAAATATAAATAAAAAAAGAAATCTTGTTAAGATTTTTAATCATTACGAAGATGACTAATATGAATCAACTTGGGTGTAGTAGCAATTATTAAAAGAGTTCCATATTGCCCAATGACGTTGATGTTAATGATTGGATATTTACTGACTTGTAGTTTCCTTGTAGGTAATATAAAAAAATCTTTTCGTATAAATGACTTAATACTGTCTGCAATATACATATGAATAGCACCTAGAAGTGAAACAACATTAATGAATTCATCATTTGACTAATGATTTTAAACAGCATACACGAATGTATGAAGAATTTGTCAATTTACCTGATTCTGTACCTAAGAATAATACATTACAAAAAAAAAACATAGACGTTATTTTCATTGGATCTAATCCTAACATTCGTAATGGTGATCTTAATAGATCTAAAATCAAACTCATTAAAATTAAATCCAAGATTATATTTAATATAATTTGAATGAAAAGTAATCAGTTTTATTAATTATCTCACTAAAATTACCTGCATCAGATTTTATTGAAGATCGAAACTCATTTTCTCGACTTACATCAAACACTGAGGGAGCTTCTAATTGAACAATCCTTTCGCTCTCATCTTCCATCGATTTATGAGTTTCTGTTAGATTGTACCATAAGTTAATAATCATTTCTGATGCTAAATAAAGTATTTTAACATGTTAGTCCTTCAATATTCACTAATTTTGTTTCTATTTGAATAGTTTGAAATATTTACCACTAGTGATAAATACTATTCCAGGCATTGGCATATAAAACAAAGATTCAGTAACGCGAATTCTTATATCTCTATCACAACCAATTCGTTTGAATATGCCATCATTATCATTTGAAATTTTTAAGTTAATTACCCTGACATTCTCTGCAGCGGTTTTTATTAATAAAGACACCTGTACAAATATGGAATTAGTGATAGTAATTTTGGTTACTTTCTTTTTTTTTTAGTATTAATCAAATATGGAAAATTACCATAACTTCTTTGAAAGTAGATTTAGCTGACATTTCTAAAACATTGAGTTGTTCTATTTCCGTTCTATTAAATATATCTCGAAATTCGAAAATGTGGTTACCCAAAACAAGCCTATTAGATTCTGTATATTTGCATTCATATACTAATTCAGATGTGGCAATGAATAATCTGTGGCTAGCACTATAAATGATGAGGTCATCTAATTAAAGATTAATTCATCTAAAACAAACATTTTATACTAACCATGTGAAATTATGAATATTTCTTTGGTTTTTAAATGGATTGTATAATTTTTTTCTTGTATTGAGGTCTATATATATCATTCTTCTACTTTTTGAAGGTTTCTTGAATGTGTGGACAATGAGAATCCATTTTTTAGTAGCTATAATTTTTTAAAATATATTGCACTTCAGATTTTCAAAACTAATTTCAATAACTGGCCTGATGAAACTCACCAGTGAACCATAATTTTATTCTTGTGATTTTTCTTCTCTGAAGTCGTATATTGCTTGGTAAATGAGATAACTTAATTGGTATTATTGATGATTCTTGACTAACATTCTTGACTTCGAAGATAATTATTTTTGTTTTTTTGATATTGATAGCTATCTTATCAGCTATATTAATACAAAAAATCTTGATGTAAAATGTTATTATAAAATATAAAGAGTATATTCATTAGAATCTCTCAGAAATTAATTAATACAAATGATGTGCTTACCATGTATATCTACAGACTGAACATTTCCTTCAAAGGGTGCATATTCTTCAAAATTCATCAATTCAAAATGTATATTTGTAGACATGATTTTTAAACTCCAATAATTGTAAAATAAATAAATTCTTTTCCAAGCAATTGATAATAATTCACTGGACCAGTTTCTTATTGTATCTTGAAATATTACTTCAATTATGTTATACACCCATGGATAAATATAATCATTGGTACATAATACTTTCCATAGGTTCTCTTCTTCGAATACTTCTTCAATCAGATCACCCCATCTTTTAGATACTTGCCGTAATCGTAATTTTCTCACCAGATTGGGAATTTTTGACAGAATTGGCTTAATTAAGCTTTCAATAGCTAAATCTGTTGTTTTACTTTCATCTATATCCATAATTAAAAATGTTATTTTTGTTGGCTGTATTAATTGCTAACAAATAATCAAATACTATGATTATTTATTGAGTTCAAGCAAGACAATGTTTTTTAAGCTAAAATAAAAAATATCACAATGATTTTTATTCAAATGTTATATTTTAAAAAGAACAAATTTTACTTTGTTGTTTAACATTTTATTTATTAATTCCATTACGTACATATGAATAAAAGAAATTCTTTCTTTACATAAACTCGTCAATAGTAGCAAAGTAAGATAAAATATTGTGAAGAAAAGTTTGTTGAAAGTTTTTACTTCAACTATTGACATTCGATTTTCTAACGATTCTGTCAATCGAAAATGTTCAGTGTGATTTTTGCTCAAGTCTCTAGAGACGTCGCCAGTTCATTTCTATATGTAACTCGTTCGATTTTCAGGATGTCCTCACTGACATGACAACATGTAAATCTAAAATTTTACTTGAGATCAAGTGATGATATGACACGGGATAGACAAACTTATTATCACTCTTCTTTTTTTTAATCTAAATTTTTTTACAATATGAAAAATGTTCTCATATAAAATTTAACAATATTCACATTAATAGTTATAATCAGTTTTATTCTGTTTGTAAATTTTCATTAATTTTTCAACAACAATCAAATCATTCGGTGTGTTACTACATCGTGAATGAATTGAATGAAATATAACTTCATTTTAGTTGCAGCAAATATATATAAAACTCCATTAATTTGAATGATATTCAAATGAACAATTGAATCATGGCATACATCAATTGTTCTAGAAGGTAAATTTATAAAATCTAAAGTTATCAAGTTTTTAACACTCTTTAAAAAAAACAGCGTTATTTTTCCTGGAATAAAAATTCATTTTAATTAAAAACAATCAAACAACTTGTGACATTAATCATAAAAAACAATTATAAAACCTAATTACCAGTTTTCAAGCCCAAAAATAAAATATTACAATGCAAAAATATTGAGGAAATGTTTAATTTAGATATAAAAGATGAACCTCTACTTAAATCTAAAACAGAACTTGAAACTATTTCTAAGGATTCGTACGATAAATTAACACTCATTAGTACATCTGAAAAGAATTTTTTTCATCATTATAATGCAAAATTAATTTCATATTTTAGATAAAGTAATTTTTTAAAATTACTATTTCTAAACGTTGCAATGCCAGGAAGTGGTGTATAACAGGTAATATTTTCAATGGGACCCAATAAATCAATACTCTGACTATGGTCTATCATTGAAAATCGCCTTCTATTAGCACTTGGAAGTTTCAAAATGATCACTCTAGCAATATTCTCATCATTATTAACCGTAACAGACAGCTGAATCAATAAAACCATTTTTTTATATATAAATTAATTGGTAAATAATAAATTTAAATACATCATCTTATACAATTACCTTTCTCGGATCAGCACACATTTCAAGAATCTTCAATTTTTTAGATACTGTTTCTAATAAATCAATGAATTCAATCGATTGACCCATAGTTAGTTGACCTTTATTCCATTCTAATTCGTAAATTATCTGAGAGGTGGCTATGAAGAGTCTATGATCATTGCTGGCTCAATTGACATTACATTAAAATTAAAATTACAATTGTTGGTATACATGAAATAAAAATAATCAGATATTAATATTAATTTGATATCATTAATAGTAGAATAAAATCAACTAACCATGTATAATTTTCTACATATTCATCTTTAAATGGATTTGGAATTCGTGTGTAATTTTTTACATCCCAATATTTCAAGTGTGTATATCCCATTAATTTATACAACTGAATTACAGCAATCAAGTTTTTTGTTTCTGTAATTGAAGGAAAAAAAGAATATTATTATTAATTAAGAAGTGATAGTATACAACAATAAAGTAGGAAGACAATGAAATTTATCGAGAAATTCTGCTTTTATAAAGACTTCATTATCGATAGATTAAACATTGCTGCAAAGTCTTGATATTAACATCCATTCAGAAGCAAAACGTTACATTATTGTAATCTTCTTTAGTCTCATTTTCATAATTTACACACATACTAGCATGGATTACAAACACTTCTCTCAATTAGACTATTAAATTATCAAACAGAAAATGTCTACGTTGCAGTATTGAAACTGTTTTGATTTTAATAACATGTTTAATAATATTATATGATGTCAATGAATTGATTATACTAGAATTGGAATTTAAATTTGAATAATTATTTACCAGTGTACCATAGTTTTATTTTTATAATTGATTGGAGTGGATATTTCCCTTCAAAATGCGGTTGAAATCCTGCATTATTTTTGTAGATAAGTACCTTTCCATTACTCGTACCAACAGCTACATAATTTGCTGATATTTAAAAGACACAATTTGAATTAAAAATAGAATTTTATATATTTATTTAAGAATCATTTATACCCCAGACATCTATGCATTCAATCTTGTCTCTAGACATGAATCCTATGACGTGAAGTTTAAAATGTAAATATGAAAAGCTCTTGATCATTCGCCACTTTTTGTAAGAAAAGAATATTTTTTTCCAAGCTTTTTGATACAGTGGAACATTCCAATTTTTTTTTGCTTGTGGAAATCTTTTCTCTACAATCTTGAATATCCATGGCTTTATTTCATCATCATCACGACACAGCTTTTGCCATATCTCCAAGTTTTTAAATCTACATTCAATGCTATCACCCCAAATTTTTGAAACTACACGAAGCCTTAATTCTTGTAATGGATTAATTTTTTCAAATATTTTTTGCAATACATGATCAGGGATACTTTCCATTCTCAAAATACACTCTATGTGTTCTTATTAATAGTTGAAAGATATTAGAGTGCTGAATTTTGAATTAAAAAATCCTTTTTCAACTATTGTTGAATGCATTATTCATTCACACATATTGGAATACTCAACAATGATTATTTAAGTCATTATTATAATTTTGTTAAGTTAAGACAAATTGAATTATGTCACAGTCAAAAATGTCTTGAGCAACAAAGTAATATTGATTGATTGAAAAATTGTTTATTTAGTCGAGATGAATTTTGTTTTCATCCATTGAATGACATTTTCGAAATTAGCAAAGTGCGTACTACTTCTGTTCAATTATCTTTCTACAAAATTGAGGAACAACAGAGGCAATTATTCTCGTAATTACATAATAACGGAAATGAACATATACTCAATCTCCTGTTCTCCTCTAAGCTTAATTGGTTTTGCAAAGTCTAATCAAAATTTGGCATTTCTAGCTTAACAGACTCGAGAAAACTCGTATAATACTCTAATTGCTTCATCAATCGATTGGAGTATTTTCCATTTTACTTTTACTCTTTTTTTATTATTTTTCTTTTTTAATACATTTTTTTCTTCTGTTTCTTTCAATTTTTTGAGTTAACAAAAAATCATAAATATACATGAGATATGTGATCTCTCACATGTTATTAATCAATGTTTTTTTCCAAAAATATACTCTGATTTAGATCTAAATTTTTTTTCTTCTTAACAAACTTATTTTAGAGAATAAAATTAAATCATTTTTACAGTATGATATAAACTAAGTACACATCATATTGTGAGTCGATGTTGGTGGAGTTGTTGGCGTTGGTACTGTTAAAATGGAGTCTTTGAACTGCACCAAGATAATCATGTATGTAATCATGGTACTAGTCATCTACAAAGAACATTTAATTAGATGAAAACGGTAAACCTTATAACGATTGTTCAGATTGCAAAAGAATTAAAAAGATTACAACATAATAATGAATAAATAAAATGATATTTTATTAATAACAATTTCATGATTATTTAATGTATTAGTAAAAAGCTGAACCATGTTGTATGTTAAAAAATTATCTCATTTGTTATTCTATGAGTTAAAAAATCAAAAACTGAATTTATAAGCTATCGTTTATCTTACTCCCAAGAATATAAAAGACTTATTTCTAAAAAGAAATTGATTTAAACTTTTCAACTGCAAATAAGTTCATTTCATATAAATCTCACGTATTTTTTCTCTAGAGTATAATAAATATACGCTCCGAAATAATGTTTAGGAATGAATTAACAAATTATTTATACATTTCCTCTAGAGTTACAAAAATTTACGGAAGAGCATAAAAAAACGATAAAAAATTGGAATAAATAATCGTAGTTAGATAAAAAAATTGGTGATGAAATTATTTTCAAGCAAAAATTTTTAATTCAACATCCTCACCGATGTTACTAGACCTCCATCCAATGAAAATAACCCACAAGCTGTGAATCGTAATTTTCTATGAAGTAATTCAATAGAAAATTGTTCCAACTAATAAGAGAAAAATTCAATTAACAATTCACACTAGAAAAAATGATTTTAATTACATTAATTAGAATAAAAATATTACCTCATAATGAATTTTTATTTGTGTCGAATACTTATTCATAATTCTATTTACAACATCTCCAGTTCTTTTAATCTGCAATAATAACATGAAATTATTTTAATTGGCAACAAATAAATCATCTAGAATCAGCATATAATGGCTTATCAAATAATTAAATGCAAATCAAACAAATACCTCGGTGCTAATTCTGGTAACGAAGCCAGTTAGAGGTATAATTGGAAAAATAAATACAATCACCCATAGAAAAGCTAGAATATATCTCGTTACAGATGCTGCTTTTACAGACATTATTACCATTATCAGGTAATATAAGCTCAAAATTAGTCTCGTACAACAACCGGTGATGGCAAATAAAATAGGCCAAGAGTAAAATTCAGTTATACTGTATGTAATTTCATATAAAGTTCGGTGAGCTTGGCGTAGGAAAATGAGCCTCGACATTATCATGTCTTTAGGTAATGATCTGTTTGGTGAAATTTCCAACTGCACATAAGATATAGAGTTCAGAGTATCATACGTTGTTGTTGATAGCAAAGATTTGTTAAGATATTGAAATCTTTTATGAATAAAAATTAACAAAAATGTATATTGCATTATTATACATGATATCAATGATTTAGGAATTATTCTTATAAATGGATATATTTTTCCATAACGATCTGCTAATATTTCTGATACCCACAAGAAAAAAATGATGATCAATTGAATTAGAGAAATCACTATTCGACAAGATCTTCCATTTTGTAAATCACAATTATGGCTAGAATTTGATCTTAATTTAGTCTCGAAACGTAGCAGACGATTGATGATATTTATGATGGTTTGTCGTTGAAATATATAAAAAAGAATCACTGTCGCACACCCAATATTCTCACATATTAATAAAAAAGCTTTTATTGTACTTTCGATGAATGAAAATTCTTCATATGTTTCACTGGTTAAAGAAAATGGAATTATGAGAATAAAATAGCACGAAAGAATTATGTTGTAAATTATTCCTCTAGTCGAGCTAATAAATTTCACATTAGTGTCCACTTTTTTGGTCCAACTGGTCGCTAGAACTTTGAATGTGAATGGAAAAAGTCCGAATACTTTGAAAAATAACATTGCAAAATGTAACATTAAGATATTAAAATTAATGCGTTTTTTACACAGATACATTTTTTAAAATAATTTGTGATCATTTGTTTGATAATTATTTGATGTCAAATACACTTTTTTGGAGTTAACAGGAATAAATTTGATAATTAGAAAGTGAATAATGATATGTAGACAGTGAATAGTCAGAGACAGACTATTGAATGCTCACTCTATTACCCGCCTTCTTATTTGTCTATTTGTTCTTTACATATTAATTATTCAATTTTAGGTAGTAAGAGGGGTGGTAGAGGAAGTAGGGGCTAAGGTAAATACAGGTATAGACAAAAATAGAAAAATAGTGCATTAGTATATTGACAGAAGAATTTATTTATATCAAGAAAGATTTATCAATAGTTAATAAACAATTTATTTAAATATAAAATAAAAGAAGCATTTCTTTTTTTGTATATAAAAAAATGAGTAGTTTTCACTGTATGGATCTGTATGGAGAAGTTAATCCAGTGGCTTGTAGATTTTGCTTCTTCTGGTCTAAAACTGTTGATACCAGTTCGTTACGTTAATTACTACTCCTTATCTATTGAACATAGCAATAAATTGAGATATTCGTTTTGCAATTATCACAAAATACTTAGATTATGCTACTAAATGAAAAAAAGTACACTACCCAGTGATAGTTAGTTTACTATTTAACATTAGTTGATGACGTCAGATAAGACTAGCCAGTGCACTAGTTTTACATTTACAAATCAACAAAAAAACTCCGAATGTTTTCTCTAATACTCACAAAATACTTCTATCATTGTAGACATACCAACAGACTAGATTTAAGAGAACTAATTGACATAAAAAATGACTAAATCAGTAGATCTAAATTATCTCTCTACAATGACTTGATATTGTGTTATCAGCGCATTAATCTAAATGTGTAGTTTAATATGTTTTGTTGATTATGCTGTCCTTTGCATATCTATCGAAGTTTAGATAATCTATATAGGCAATTATTGGAAAAATATATAGGAAGCATCACATTTAATTTGATGTATAAATTTAGAGTTGACCCGGAAATACAGTCAATATGTTGAATGATAATTAATGTGCTAAGATAAAATTACCATTTATCAATCACTATTTGGTGTAATAGCCTTTTTATTCTATTATCTTAATACTTGTCGATCATTAGCATTTTTATATTTATCAAATTAATGTGCATGTCATTTTTTTCTCTGTTTTTTTGCTGATACTGAATTGAAATGTACTTCGGTAATACCATGACAATCATCTCTTTTTTCTGGAAGAAGATTCATTAATAACAATTATTGTAAAAAAATTCACATCCGTCTAGTTAAGTAATAAGTGAAGCATAAAAGTGAAATTATCAATTTAAAATGTGCATTTTAGATATACTAGTTGATAGCAAATATAAGTCGTCTGACTATTGGTTTGTTCTTCTACTTAAAAGTATTGTTGATAATTAAAAATATTTATATAATAATCTAAATAAAAATATAATTAATTACATAATTAAAAAAGTTAAATTAGTTGTTGTCAAACTTTAGTCAAAAATAGAATAATTTTAAATGAGTATTCTACTTTTAGAATGAGGACAAATTGAAAAATGTGATGACTTTAATAATATATAAATTAAAATAAAAAGAATAATATTTTTAATGGAATGCTTTTTTGTATTTAAACCAATTTATAAGCTTGTAAATACAATTCAATGAAATAATAAAATTATTTTGTAAATCTTTTTGTTGAGCTCATGAAGGATTTCATTTGCTTTATATTCGTGGAAAATAAGTGCATCTCATGAATGAAAGTAGAAAACAATGCCAATAACATTACAAGAATTTCACACACGTATATCTTATTCTACTCTAGGTGTCTTTATTTTATTCATATCATTCTCAGTAAAATCATTATCATACCAACTTCATCAAAAACAAGTCGAGAATTTAATTTAAAATTATAAAAAAGAGGAAAAAATGGCAAAAAAAGACATGAATGAATGAATGAATGAATGAATGAATGAAAGAATAACATAACAAAGCAAGCTTGACAATAATAATAATAATTTTAATGAACTCGCAGAGCATCTTGGGAAGTGGAGATTATTTTGCTGAGTAAAATGGCAAACAAATATTTAGGGAGAAATGAATCTGTGAAATGAAACAATATGATAGGTTGGGGATGAGAGTTGGAAATAGAGCGAAAGTGAGGAAGTGAGAGCGTCAGAGGAAAGGGTAAATAGGAAAGGGAAAAAGAGGGCAGGCATGCTGTATCGATTTTCGCTTCTTCAACTATGACGTCATAAATGTAGCCTCCACCTTTCACATGAGAAGATGATGCGTTCCCCCTCCGATCACTAGAATTAAACTGGCCACTCACCCTCTCAATTCCCATGTTATATAATATCTTGAGCATTCATTCGGAAGCCCTACTGATATTAGGTATACTTATACTATTTACAGTATCATCACCGACCTTGCGTATTATCTCATCAAAAATAACACTTGAAAATTATCTTAAATCACGTCTTATTCATTCATGTATGTCAATATTATCTATTTTTAACTTTTCATTTGTGCCCAAACGAAAATTACTTTTTGCAATTTTTTATGTCCCTTAGGTAAACATATTGTTTAAACAATTTATTTTTAGTTCAATGTTCAAGTGTTTTTTTTAATTTAAAGAGGTGATGAACCTATTGTAATTTTTATAAATCTTTTCGAATAGTTAGCAGTACTTTTTTAACTCCAGGAAAATAACTATACTTCAACCTACTCAACAGTAATCAAGAGTAATATTCACTCCAATATATAAAATTAGTACAATGAATAGAAAATTATTTGAAACATTGTTATTATATGAGGATAATAATAAGATGGGCATGGTAGCTAATGAAAAGAGGTCATAATTCAATATTCAAAAGGTCTTGTATAATAATGTCTGATTATCATAATAATTTTACATAATGTAATTACAGAAGTTTTCAATAAATAAATTAGATCTTCGGAAGAAAGCTCAAGTTTTTGTACTTATAATTAAAAGTAAATTCAAAATTCTAAAACAATATTAACAATTTAAATTGAACTGAAGTTAATAAAAATCATTTTAGGATACTTTTTTTGGTGTTTATACAGATGGAATTGTTATATTATAAACAATAAGTCATTGTATATCTTTTTTTTTATATACATAGTTACAGACAAAACAAAATATTTAACAAGAGCAACTATAACGATAAACTGATGGGGAAAAAGAGTAGAAAGGTACTTGAAGACGCTTGGCAGAGCAACATTAAATTTGAAACCACTAGAGTGTTTTTTCTATAACATGAGAATAAAATCTACGTCGGTTGTTCTTCTAAGGTTAATGCCCTAGACACAAATAACTTCCAAGAACAATTTACCAAACAAATGTATAAAGAAAAAAAGTTAATCACTTCAATAATAACAATTAATCTAAATATTTTATTGACATCATCCAATATGATGACATTAATAAAATGTAATATTTTTTATAAATATTTTTTTATTTTATTAACAGTTGGTCTTTTGATTAATTTAATGTTTGTTTCATAGAATAATATATGAAATTACTTATAAAAATATTTGTAACCTTTGTTTTTGTTATTATTTAATTTATTTGAACAAAAGTAATTCAATTGGATTAAAATGTTTTTATCATCTTTTTATCTTTCAACTGTGAAATATAAAAAAAAAATGCTATTTTTACAGCAATACTTCAAATTTTTTTTACATCTTCTGAAAATAGTTTCTGCTCAGTGAGAGAAAGAAGGAGAGATAGATTATTTGTACCAATCGACAACAATTGGGATAATGATACAACAGCTCTTGAGTGACACAAGTATCTCCTCAGAGTCTTTTTGCCAGTACTATCTGCATTTATTCCACTTTGATTCATCGACAATAAAGAATTCAATGCTGTGGTAGCTTTTTTATATTCATACATTTTTTGTCACTGGCAATAATTTCGATACGGTTTTGTATTCTACCTAGATATTCATTTTATACTCCAATTCATACTCTTTTAAGTCAATTAATTATCTGATACAAATTTTTATCAACTGCTTTAGAAAATTTTTTTTCTATTCTTTATTCGATAGTTATTGTTTGTGAGTTTAAAAATAAAATGATAAAATAAGAAACATTTTTCATGAGTAATTTTAGATAGTTAAATATTTACTGAAATATTTTAAACAAACCTTTATTTCATTTCTCTGCTCCATTTCCCTTGGTAATAAATTTAAAGCTCTCGTTAAAGAAGATACTGTTTCTATGTGGTTTCTGGAGATCTTTATACTTTGAAGGTGGTATGAGACTTTTCACTTGCATTGGTATAGTAGGACAGCTTTGAATTGCTTCCAATTTTGTTTGCATTTTAAAATTTTTTTCTCTATTTCTGAAATTCATATATCACACTTAATAACTTTGAATTTCAAATATTGCTTTCAAAATATTTTATTTTTATTCGAAAAAGTTCTATCAAGGATCTCTTTTTTAAGATAGAAAAATTTAAGACTGAATTTTTATAAAAAGCTTTTAGGAGAATTTTTTTTTTTAAGTTTTCAAAGAGCTTTTGCTTTTTAAGATTCAACCGGCAAGTATGCAGATTCATCCGCTCATAAAAAAATTTTATGTCTTTTAAGCTGCTTAGAATGAACAAATATGCAATTACTCTTAAAGATATGACCTCATATTTCGGCTTATAAAAATTAATCTTAGCAAGTTAGAATTTTTGTTCCTTCTCTAGATTATTTTTCAGACTTTTCTAAAGGTTTTGATTTTTTATTCATCCTTCTATCTCAATTTTTTACTCACTTACAAGTCGCTTAAAGTTTATTACTGAAGATTCAATTTTTACCAGTTTTTAAAAGCAATTTTTCATAAAAGCGTTGTCGGAAAAAGAAATTCGATATATAATAAATAATGACATTCTTGTAGTTAACTTATATTAGATAATAGTCACAATACAATAACGATTTTTCTTAACGAAAAAAAGGATAAGAAAAAAATTGATTGATTAAATGATAGATTTAAGTCTAGTCAATGGATGATACATTCCTTTATGCAAGTTTTATGACAAGTCATGATTAGGAAATTAATTTATATTAGTAAACAAGAGGAAAAATTCAAACTTTTACCATAAAAATATCTAAGACTGTTTATTCATGGGACTAATAATCGTTGAGCGATTTTATGAATTGAAATAAGATTCATACATGCCATACACATAATACCTACATAATTCCTACATTTCACTTGTAATTCGGCTGGAGTTAAAACAAAAAAACATTTGCGATTTTATAATTATAAATTTCAATCAAAAATACAAGCATTACATTATTTTATTGAAAGAAATTTATTTGAACATTTGCAGTATAAGTCTTTGTTAACAAGTCATAAAAAAACTTTTATTCATTAAAAATTATTAAATGTGTGTCATATAATTTTATATACTAAACAAAAAATTTTATATCTATAAAAAGTTGTAGGAAAACAAGAATTATGAATTGTTTTATTATATGTAATAACATAAATGCTATATAAAAGATAGTAAACAACAGTAGCCAGAATCCGTTTATGATCAATATAATACATGACTTTTATCGATTTCAATTTGCTGTGTGTGAAATTGATTTTACTATTTTCTAGTTATATTAATTAATACTGAATCCATGCCATAAATTGGATTTCATGATTTCCGGATAGATACTACATCTTCGTTAAGCATGCTACTGACATGCCCAAATGTTGCAGTCTAAATTATCAAGGTTTAATGCTCCAATATTGGGGTATCAAGTATTACTAGGCATTGGAGAGCTTCAAGCACTGATGATGCAGACTAAAACGTTTCAGGAATGTCAGCAACATATGATGAAGATGGAGCGTTCATTTGGAAGACATGATATTGAGCTTACGAAAGACTTGGAATTTCTCTAATATATCACTTTAAAAAAAAAAGGGAGAACATCTAACAAGTGAACTTATAGGAAAAAATTTTAATGAAAAATGTGAACATTGAACCTACAAGCAGGAAGCTTATGAGAAAAATTATGATGACAAGTAATTTAAATAATTTTATTTGAAACGATTTATCAAAATTTTTTACACTATAAACAACAAATTATTTATTACTTCAGAAATATGTAGCAAAAATAATGCAACTCATATTATCAAAATAAGAAAACAAAATAGATATCATGTCATATCCTAATAATTTATTATTTGTAAACACAGTCGTCAATTGATAGTTTTTCTCACATATTCAGAGCATAAAGAAAAATAAATGTAGTGGGAAATTGGGAAAAATGTCGTTTTATTAGAGAGTAAAAACCTTTCTTGCCACTGTGTTCTACCAGGATAATAATCGAGGTCAAAGATGACATTTTTATGATGACAGTAAAATGCAGTGTATGCAACTTTAGGCAAGTCCTTTTATAAGTAACCAATGAAGCATCCAATGTTATTCGGGTGAGAATGTAATTTTCACACCCAAGAAGTAGTGTCGTAAAAATTCTAAGTGGTACTAAATGTAACAGAATAAAAGGATGCATGGACTGAAGTATACCGTTTAGAATAGAATAAACAGAATTCATGAGTAGCTCATGATAACATGAAAATGGATATTTAATACTATAGATTATAGAAAGCTATATTGTACAAATGAACATTTATTGATATGTATCAAGACATTCACAAGCTGCAGGTAAAAGTGTAGGAAAACTAGAGGAACAATCAATTCAAAAGTTCTTTTGGCATTGAGCCAAACCTTTCTCTTAACGTGCTTGTCTAGATTGTTTTCTAGTCAACTAAACTCAGCACGTATTTATTGCCTGGCTTTTTCTATATTTGATTAATCAACGTTGGAATAAAAGAGCAGTTAAAGTGATTTGCACTTTACTGTTGAATTCTATCTTTTTTTTGGAAATGAAAAATCAGTGTTTAATTAATAAATGACTACTAAGAAACATTTGTATACGTGTCGACTAAAAACAAAACAGATAAATACAATCAATTTGGAATGCTGGAAGCAAGCCAGATGAACCTTTCACTGGAAAGCAATATTTTTTGTTTCTAGCTGAGGTTTAATTTTTGATTTATTTGAAAATGACTTTTATTCATTTTAGTTGTGCTTGAAGCTAGAATTTTTTTTATCTACAAGATTTATAATAAATAGAACAACAAAAGATTATGTCGGTTTACTTTAGGAATCATGTTGGATTATATGACACTTTTTGAATATTCATAGTATGTAAAAATCACCTCAATCATTTTTAGGAATATTTGAATCAAAATTTTTGCTTGCAATATCAATACTATTTGGGGACAAATAAATAGTTGGGAACAATTTATTGTTACCAATTACGATTGGTGTTTATGTTTCACTTGACATTAATGTCTATACTTCATCTTTTTTTTTCCTTTTTTTTTGGTTTGTCGACAAATTTTTTTTCCTACAAACTGCACATTCAGATCAATGAATAAAAAAATTGCATCACATCAATTTAGAAAAAAAAAATTTACAGCACGATTTTTCTACTTATCCACGTAAAAAGTTTTCCATTAGTGTGGAAACGTGAAAAAAATAAAAGTAGTTGAAAGCTAGAAAAATGCATATAAATGTTTTTTAGATCGTTTAAAATGGGTGTGAATAGTTCACGTAATAGAAAGGAAGTTGTAGTCGATGTTGGAAAAAGATTTAGTTACTATTTTAGATTTTTAGCAAAATATTTAAATCTACTAAGATAAACTTATTCAAAAAAATTTAATAAAAGAAATAATTACATTTCATTCCCAAGGGGAAAAAAAGTTCTCATTCGTCAAAATGACAAAGTATTTGAGCTTCACTAGTCTAAATTTACTGTCAAGTAAGAAGCTACCTTTGAAAGACAAGTGAAGCGTTTATTAAGAAATAAAAACAAACAATGGCAATTGTCTAGAAGTAGTACTCTACTCTTTAACGAGCTTTATAATTTTTTGAAAACTGTGTCATCTCTTAAATCATCATTAACAATAAATTTAAGCTGCCTGATAAAAAATTTATCTCAAATAATAACTTTAAAAATATTTACTCAATGGTTTCTTTACAAATTCATTAACAAAAAAATAAGGTAATTATATAGTATTACTCCGTTACTTTCGATTCCTTGGAAAATGGAATATTCAGTACTTTTAATGATGCTGATCAAGATCAATATATGCATATATGAGGTGCGAAAACCAAAAATAAATACAGTTTATTAATATTAAACAATTTAATTTATTGTTTCAAAAATCATCAATTATGATTGATAGATGAGAAAATAAATCCACAATAAAAGCAAAAAAGACCTTTGGAAAGAATTTTTTTTTTTTGCTAATATTGCTCCAAATAGTAACACCGTCCCCCTCCCTACTCCCGCCTCATCGCTCCAATCTTTATTCATTCACGTAATATTTTTCAATAGTGCAAATGTACTTGACATATTGTTACATTATAAGATCATAATTGATCAGTTAATTTTTAAAGACTTGCAGAAAACTGACAAAAAAAATTTTAGAATCAAAATTCTGAAGTATTCTTGTAGTGCAGTCATGATATCACTAACATAAAAATCTGAACGCCCAGTTTTATGAAATAGAATAAAGTCTGTGATTTCCCGTAAGGATCAATGGTGAAGGCAAAAATTTTAAAGATTAATTTTGTTTTCAGTTCTCTGATGGGCTTCAAAAATTCAACTGATCAATTGTGATGTAATAATGTACTAATATATCAAATTTCAGTAAATTTTAAATGTGAATTTTACAAACCGTTAGTCCTACCTTAACATAAAAAATCTATGTCAAAAAATGGTTTCCGCACTGTACGTGTATATATTCTTACTCAGGAAGATCATCTCTGTAAGATACTCGATTTTCAACGAAATCGAAAATGACAGAGTAACACCACATAAGTACCATAAATAATAATTATAAAAATAAAAGCCTCGTTTAGAGGCAAATAAATTACAATTGTGATATCCCTATTACCATCATAGTCTGTGATATTGCAACAAATAACAATTAAACAAGATGTGGTCACTAATCGAAGAAAACTGTTAGCATTTGTCTTGCTAAATGGGATACTGGCTAGTGGCTATACTGTACTACGCCTTTAATTAAGATAATAGTGAAGGTGTGGTAGTGTTGTGCAACGATACATATTCATGTAAATTAGTATTCGACGTTAAATTATAGATAAAAGACAGAAAGAGGATGAGAGAGATGAGGAAGGAAATGGAAAAGCTTCAAAAGGGACATGTTATATCACCACAAGCGTGAAGGATAATAAGCAAACGAGGCGAGCAATCAATTCGGTAACGCTGGCGTTATGCCAGACACTTCGAAACCTCTGTATGGTAGATTCTCTTGCAGAAACTGGATATTCTAGAGACGAATATTTTTTCCTCGTTCTTTGTAATCGTTTTTTCCCCTATCATCAGGGAGATTTGCTATAACTCCTTTTGGATTGCATTTTTTTTGGTGGTATCTCGTTGAAACTCTTGCTGGCAGACTGAATTATATAAAGAAGTAGTAAAAACTTAAGTGCTGAACTTGTCTGCCAACAAATAACGATGAATCAGATTTTATCATTAACTCTACTATTTTGGAGTTTGAGCTTTTTTGATAAACAAGAGAAAAAGATGAGAACATTATGCAGTTTAAAAGTACTTTTAAAAGTGCTTTAAATAAAATTTTTATCAATAAAAATATTTAATGGTGAAATTAAGAACTTTTGTTTTAGAGGATCATAGTTAACTACCTGGAAAAATAATTAACATTGAAATAAAATTTAATTAGTGAAAAAAAATTTAATTACTTAGTTGCTGAGAGAAATTCATTTTCATCATCACAAATATTTATGAGTGATAATTAACCGTAAACTATCTGAAAATTCTCCAAAGCTTAGACCCCTAGTCAACCTTATTTAAACTTTTGGGAAAAGCTGACCTGACCAAGAGCTGACATGTTATCACCTTAAGTTTAAAAGAGCTTAAGGATGATTTCAACACGTCATTTGTATTGGGAAACTATTCTAACTACCTACCCAATCGTTTCCTACTGAAACTAAAATCGCCAATGTACTTTTAAATGCTTGATGAAACAAAAAATATAGTATCAAAGTTACCTGACAATAGTTTGGTTTATTAAATACTCTGATTCTTTAGAAAAATTACACATCCTCATGTCTAATTGCGTGATAATAGTGTTCATCTTGATGGCAGAGCTTAAAGCTTCTCCAGCTGGAACGATAAAACATTTATTAAACATGAATCCGATAAGCTCTAAAATAAATGAAACTTTTTTTTTAAATGGATTTTTGAAATACCTATGAAACCCAAATTATTGTTAGAAATGTCAAGATTTAAAGATAAAATTTTCATATAATCGGATGAAACTACATCAGCCAAACCCATCCCTGTTTCTGTTTCCAAGCAGCAAGCGCTTATATTCAATTTTTCCAGAGTTGAACTCCGCAAAAGTACTGGAAAGTTTCCACAAAGTTAAATTAAAAATTTATAACTTTTTTTTTATCTGACTAATGAAAGATTGTATCTTGATTCTAATAATAAATTGAAGAAGATTACAGAAATAATCTTCAGAAGACTCACAAGCACAAATATGGGTTCCTCCTTTATCTCGTAAAGGATTTAATCGAAGATCTAGAGACTGTAGTGGTGTCGCAGATTCTTGTAAAAGACCGTGAACAATGCCAGCTACTCCTTCTGATCCAATTCCGTTATTTGTCAAATAAAGATGACGGAGATTTCTGTGGTATTTTAAAAATTCTCCTACTGCATGTGCACCAGTATCAGCAAGCTTGCAGTGAGATAAATCAAGTTCTTTGATCTGGAAATGAATGGAGGAAAAAAAATGTTGGATACACAATGAAGAAAAAGAGAACTTGCTTTCTAAAAGCCTCAATACTCACGTTATTATTTACAGCAACCCCTTGAAGAAGGGCAGCAACACGTGGTTGATCAAGACTACTTCTTGTGATGCAAACTTTTTGTATCTTTGCGGAATTTTTTATACCTCTACCAAGATTTAAACAATCCTCTACAGAAAATCTAATAAAAGATTCATCCACTTGTTAATTACCAAATATAGTAAATCAAAATTTTAATTAAATTTCTAATTGCACTTTTTAAAGCTTTGAGGAAACTTATTATTAATCTTAGTTATATGAAATTCAACTTTAGGGAAAAAATAATAAAAAAAAGTATTAGACAATTTACTTGAAGTCTCTCCACTCAAAACCGTCGTTTAAATAAATCATCCCAAAGTTCAAATAAATCTCTCGAAGCTCTGGCAGCTGTGGTAAAATTACATTCAAAGAATGGTGGATTGTGAGGAAAATTTCAGATCGTACAGTGGCTTCATCATCATCCTCAGACCATTTATATGGATACCTGGTATGGAAATAAGACGTCACTTGATAAGTTTATTTTCGGAAAGTTTGGAAATAGTATATTTGTTAATTTTCTTCTAGATAAAATAGATTCTATTGTGATAAGTCAATGTAACGAAAAATATGAGAGTTATTTTATCTATTGTTAACAAAATCTTTCTTACTTTGATGGAACCAATGAACGAATAGTCAAAGTAAAGAATAGTGATGCGCATAATTTGATAAGAGCATTACATTCATCTCTTTGGGACTCTAAATTCTCCAAATTCTCTAGATACTCGGAAAAATGACGCTCACAATATAGTCTTCTCCAAGAATTACCATGTTCTGCAGGATTATTATTTTCCCATCTGAAATTAAAATATTTTCATCAAGTTTTTAAGTGTCTACTTTTAATGTCAAAGCAAGCTCAATTTACTGATACATTATTGATAAGAAATTATGTACTAATTAGTTGTGGGTAAAAAGGTTTATGATTACTTGTAATGAGTCTGATTGATTTATGAATAATTTTATTGTATGCAAATATTTATGAAACTATTATGTATTCAGTAGATAATTAAATACATGTGCAAAACATGTAATTCCAGTTGAAAGGTGTATCATTGTTCGTTTAGTTTTAACTTGAGTCATTTGGGTCAAGTTTTCAGTCGATAACTCATTTTCCTGACGAATTAAATTATCCCGTAAATTGACCGTATTTTTTTAATTCAATTATGAAATGTCGAGTTTCATGCCAATTTTAATAAGAGAATAAATTAAAAAAATACTTCTCATCGAAACAGTTATAAAAAAATGCAAATATTAAAAAGCCATTTACAGAGGCAATTAATAGTTTAACTATTAAACGTTCTGTCATTAAATATATATATATATATATTTTTTAATGATTTACTGATATTACCAGCTGAATAAGTTTATTTCTACTTAAAAACTCATTAGTGTTGCAATATTGCAGCTGAAAAAATATAAAATTGCACTTTATTTCTACAAAAAAGATTAGAAAAATGTATTGGACGTTGATAGAGTTGATCTTACCTATCTTTAGCAGCTCGGCACCAATAGTACTCGTATGGAATGCTCTTCAAGACGATTTCAAGTGGCAGATCTGGCGGTAACATTTCCAAGAGCATATCTCGATCATCAAGAGATGAAAGATTCTCGAAAATCGATGACTTTTGCCATCCCTCAACCAACTTGCGAAGAGCAAGGACTTTCAACTCTGGCACAATCAATTCGTCCCATGTGTCATCTTCTGCACGTATTTTTCGTCCTTGTTCTTGAGGAAGGGATATTGTCTCGGTTGAGCATCTATTTGAAAGTTGATTCCACCATTTTCATATGTTTTTATAGAACAATAAATATTAAAAAATCTATTCAGTCTGTTTAGATATCTTTATTATTCATCAGATAATTATTTATTTGTATATTATCTTTACTAATTATAAATTATTAATTGTTAAACAATACGGCATTTAGAAGAATTGTTACTCAGAATAGAACATTTTAGGATCCATTTAGATTAATTTAATTTAAATAAGTATTAAGTGATGAATATTTTTCATTACCTATAAGCTTCGAATACGTTCTTGGAGATTGTATGTGGAATTCGCATTTTATAATATTTGTTTAATTATTACTCAATAAATTTACTATCAATGCCTGCTATTTTTTTCTGTGAAATTTATTCAATAGTTCGTTTGTAGACATTTATTCCACTAGATATATTTTTTCCTTCAATTTATTCCATTTTTGATTAAAACTTGTTTTCTGCAATGAAAAACAATATTTTATATTATTAAATAAAATTATTCATTTTATTCAATTAGACTGTTAGTTTAATTAATTTTTAAATTAAAGCAAAACAGCATAGTTCATGTTCGGATAGCAATTTCTTATTTTAAAAATACTTTAAAATCAATTACTTTATTTCAAATATATTACTTAATTTTATAATTATAAACAATATTATAAATAATATTTGATTGGTTTTTAGGAATGTCCAGAAGGTGTTGTTCACGAAGAAAGCAGGCAGGAGAGGAGGCGAAAGGGGTGCCACAGGAAGGAGGAGAGGAGGAAACACGCGGACGATGGGGCAAAAAGAGAAGGGAAGTGGGCAGCGGAAGGAACAGGTGAGGCAGACGTCCAGGCGGGAGGACGCACGACGGGGTCAAAGCCGTCGACGTGAAGGGAACGAGGGCAGCAGCTCAGGGGAAGGGGAGAGCAGCGGAGACAGGGCGGGACGCAGGCGAGGGCCCAGCGAAGAGTGGGCCACGAGCAGTGGCGAGCAGCGACAGCGAAGAAGGGCCGGGAGGAACGGCGAGCTGGAGAAGGCAAAGGGCAAGAAAAGAAGAGCAGAAAGGGTATGGAGTGAAGTGACGAGCAGGCAGGTCACTACAGAGAGTGCGTAGCGAGGGCAAGAGTGAAGGAAACGGCGGGAAAACGAAAGCGGCGCGGGAAAGCGTGAAAGAAACGAGAGAATCGACGGTAAATAGGATCGTGATGCTGAGTATGAGACGAGAAAGCGGCAGAAAAGTTTAGTCGACCAGAGAACTGCTTACAGTCGTGAAACGAAAGAAAGATAGGAAAAGAAAACAGAGGATGTATGGCGGAGGAGTGGAGAGCTAAAAGAGAGGACAAAAGCGAAAGTAAATCTCGAGTGGAATGGGAAGTCGGCGGAAGGCGACACAGAGAGATAAAGAAGAAAAGATATTGCGGGGAGGGGCAGCATGCAGGAGCGACGCGGAAAACGCGTCACAGGGCGACGAGGGAAGCAGAGAGGAAAAAGGAACGAGGACGGGCAGCGGGGAGAACGAGAGCAAGGAGAGAGAAAACGAGAGGAGAACTAGGTGAAGTAGTTACAGCAGTACACGAGCTAATGGGGCGTAAACATCCTGCTGAAGAAGAGCGTAAAGCAAGGGAACAACTGGATAGGGTATTTGAAAAACTTGATCTCAATCGCGACGGGGTAATCACAATAGAGGAGTTTATCGAAAGTTGCCTTAAAGTAAGTTTTTTTCATTTTGAACTGAATAACATCATTCCTATAAGGATACGTTCAACACTTGTATAAACTTAGTTTCAACTAAACTGTGATTTATTATTTTTTTTATAAAAATTCAATGTTTAATGCAAGAAATTACTTTCAATGAGGCTTTTTAGTGAAAAGAGATCTTTAAAAACTGATAAAAAAATTGAATGCACAAGATTTTTATTTTGATTGCTTCAAAGATTAAAAAATAAAAATCCTTGCCTCTCAGCTTTTCAAACATTTACTCTAAATGCTTTCAACTATAAAAGGTGTAAGCATCTCACTAGATTAAATGAAATTTTCTTTTCACAATTAATTTTTCTTATGAGTCGCATTAATTTTCGATACAATTAAATTGACCAAATTCTGAAGCTATGAATGATTCCATGATATCGTCTCATGAGACATGAAATCAGAAAACTCACATTTCTAATGCACTAGATGGATGAAAAATTTTTCTTTAGTTGATTAATGATATCTTTCACCTCCAGTGACTCGAATAAAAACATCAAATTTTACAGTATTCAGTAATTTTTGAAATAATTAGAAAAGCGAACATTAGAGTTTCATATAACCTTCGTGCTGTCAAGTTATCATCCCAATTTTAATCTAATTTAAGTTTGAACCACTCGTGAGCCTGAGATTTGTCTTGTCCTGAAGTTGACAAGCATTTGCCTTGAGCCTTTAGATAGATCTCATCTGAATAATAACATTAGGAGACAAAATAATTCATTTATGAGCTTCAACAAATACTCTGAAATGTCTGTGGAATTCTGAACAATAAATCCTTTTGTTAGACTTTAATTCATTTATTTTGCAAATACTAATCAACTATTAAAATGTCAAAGATAGTAATTAATTGAAATAATTATTTTTCAGGACGAGGTGATCACACGATCGCTCGCAATGTTCGATTGTGAGCTCTGATCTCCGGTGAATTTAAGTCCCTCAAGATCGGCAGCAATGACACCACCATCGCCTCACTCGGGGACCACGTACTCACAATCACTTACTAGTTCATCACCGACGCCACCTCGTTATACACTTTTACCACCTGTTTCTGATTCTATTCCTGAATATCCTCTCCCACTGACACCATTACCAACACCATCTCAAACACATGAAACACTACCTGGATTTACTAATGTTCAAGAGCAAGAGTCCTATCGCTTCATTGGTACTTATTGGTGGGACCAGTCAGATGAAACGCTTTTTTGTTGAATTATTACCTGAATGTTTAATATTTAAACACTAAAAAATTTTGTTAACACTTTTAATTGACACAACAATTTATTTTTTATTTATTATGAAACAGTATAAAGTTTAAAAATGCATGAACTGATTGCCACAGTGCATATTTGGAAAAAATAGAACTCAATAATCGAATTAAACATGCGAAAAAGTTATGAATAAGAGATAATATTGTAAGGATTTTTCCAACCTATGTGAAATAATTGCGAATAAACACAAAAAAATCATAGAACTCGAAAAAAATTGGAATTATTCGAAAATTTGAAATCCAAATTTTTAATTAAAGACCTTTCAGTAGATTGTAAGAATAATAAATAACAGAAAAGTTGTTGATATAGCATAAATGTTTTCAATACTAAAATTATATAAAAAATCGGCGATCTAGTAGTAACAATGTTAAATAATAATAATTAATTCTTAGGCAAGTTGATTTGTATTAGAATTAAAAGATTGATCACTAGCCAAGTACCTGTAGTAAAAGTAATCAGGCAAATAATAGTTGGCGTCGTACAATAATAGAGCAGGCTGAGTTATGATAATAATAAATACCAAATAATTTATGATAATTATTAATTAACAATTAATAAGAAATCCTTAAGAGTATAAAAATTAGTCAAATGTATGAATTTTTTTAATGACACATGAAATATTCTATCTCTAAATATTATTCAAAATTTCATATTTAACATCTAATCGAATTAAGAAGACTCAAAAATTATTTCTGACCTTTTATACTCATGAATGATTTTAGATCTATTACACTGAATAATTATATATTTAATACTGTTTCTAAAATGCTAATCTATTTATAAAACACTGTTTTATTATTGATGAAATATTCATTAAATATTTATTAAATTTAAAATAATGGTTTTTACTTGAAAACTGCTGTATATTTTTTTCATTGTTGTTTATCCATTAATGTTTAATGATGATCAATTTTGCATTTATTTTTTATCTCATTATCATGTTCATTTTACTATATTATTATAACAATTAACTTAAACAATAAATCATATGATTGAAATAATAAATCGTCTATGTAGACAATTTTTATTGAAATAAACGAATAATCTGAGAAAAAGTCAAAATTTAAATAAAAATTTCACACTTAATATAACAGTCATTTAATTTTGTAAAATATCATCTACATTGTAAGTTAATTATGTGCCAAATAGTTCTGATGATAGTTGAATAACTCTCTACTAGTAAGAATCTTTAATTATAAAAGCAAATTTGAATGTATAAATAAATTTAAAAATATGTAAATAATACGCGGCTGTGAATTCGCGCATCTTGAATGACAAAATACGTAGTAGTGTGAGAGGTATAATATTAAATAAATTGTTCTATCACAGTTATCAAAATAAAGTAAAAATAAATAGTAATAATAAATAATAACAAAAAAAAAGTTTGTAGATTCAATGAATGCAATGTAATTAATAGATTAAATTGATTAAAGTTTCAAAAAATCTAAAGCAAGATTAAGCATTAAATAACTCATTTCAAGTCAAACAAAAATTATCCATAGCAAAACAAATGGACTACTAAAATAATATATATAACAGCAATGTTGAAATAAAATTGATATAATAGAAATTATTTACAACAATTCTGCCGAAAATTTCTAGAATAAAATTAACTATGAAAATTAAAAAAGAATGATAATCTGATTAGCTTATTAAAAAAATTTAAAAAAAACTTTTAAGTAGGAAAATTTTCAAAAATTAAAAAAAAAATCGTTACAAATGAATTCTAGTTTATTATGTAATAAATATGATTAGTCACAATGAAAATAAAAAAATGTTTTGTGTGAATTTATCATGTCAATTAAGCGCGTAAATTAGTGATAAATTGAATTATCTAAGTAGATACATGTTTACTTAACAACAAAATAATAAATTGTCAAAAAATTTTGTTAGGATTGATGATTTAATTATAAATGTTTTTAGATTATAAAAAATTTATTAGGATATTCAGTCAGCATTTTTGCTGTTAATTAGACTACATAAAATAATCATAAAGAAATTTTCATATCATTCATAAATGCATTTTAAAATTTATTTTCATTTAAAATTTTAATCGGAAAAGAACATTAATAATATTTAATATTATAAAACAAATTATAGGTAATTATAATCTTTCAATTATTGCCGATACTCTATTGTTTGTTAAAATGCATTAAATTTTTAATGAAATTTCATTCGTAATGGACTATGCCCAGAATGAGTGATAAAATCATACAAAAAGTTTAAAAATTAAACTTTATTCATAACCAAACTATATAAAGAAAATCTCTTGAGGAATATATCATTTATATAACCATTATTTAATCCTTGTCATTTTTTTAATGATATTATGAGTTGAAAGTTATTTAGATAATTTCTTGATATGTAAAAGGGAAGAAAAAATTTTTAAAGATCTGTAAATATTTCAATAAGCAAAAACAAAAAAATGCATTTTTCCATTTAATCGGATATTGTTTAATAAGAATAATGGTGTTTCTCTCTGGGGATTCTCTTTCATCAAAAATTTTACTAACCGAACTTGCAATACTGTAGATTATTTCAAGAAAAACATTTACTTTGAGTGATACTCAATACGTAGCCATAAAACAAAATCTAGACGCAAATATAAAACCAGAAGGTATAAAAATCGTTCAACGCCATACTGCCTCACTAAATAAAAAAATAAACATTCACATTTTTTCTAGATTAGAATCAACGACTCAGGCGTATGAAATCATCTAGTTTAACGATCTTATTAGAAATAAATGAGAAAACATTCGCAAAAATTCGTACACTAATTAAAAAAAATAAAAATAAATAATAATGAAAAAGAATTAAAACTACCTTAAGTAACTAAACATGTATTCAATAGATCCAAAGATTTTCTTTGATGTTGGATCATTCTCAACATATAAATAATAGCGCAGGATATATATTATATCCTTGATAATTTAGAATTAATTTTGTAAACTCTGTTACTATATTTATTAAAGTGGGTAGAGTGCATGAGTAAAAATAGTATGGAAGATAGATGAATGTGAATTAGTTATTATAATAGTGGAGAAATTTCAAAAGAATTTTTAACCATTTCCGTGTAACCAAAAGCGAAAAAGTTATTTCTAAAAACGAAAAATATCAAACACTATACTATGTCAAATAAAATGACAAGAATGAAATCTTCTTTGTATTTAAATAATTACTGAATTTTTTTATATTCTAATATAATACAGAGAACTATTAATATATAATGTTGAATATGTTACTGAGAAATTAAACATCTACGTGTTGATGATTTACTAACACTAAATTCTTTTTCTTTTTACAAATAATTTTTTTGCTCATTGTATATTAATAAAAACTGTCGAAATTACTATAATACATTTAATTGGAAAGAGATAATTAATTGAAAGACTACATAATTATTTGTATACTCAATTCAGTCATAGTAATTTAACAAATATTGAATTACAACATTAAAGAGATTCACTTTATTAACCAATCATGTTGTAATAATAATTTGATATCAATTAATTGTATAAGTAGATTAGTTTTAATACTATCATTGTTTTTATACACTTTATGAATTTCTTTGCATTTTTGGTAAAGCTTTCTTCTTTTTTATGGTAGAACTCGATGAATTATTATACTACACAGTTTATTTAAACTGTAGAATTTATCTTATATACTTCATCATTCACGCTAATATCAAAAATTACATTTTAAGGGATGTGAATTAACTGATTGAATAAAGAGCGATTTGTGTGAATTTGCAATGTTTGTGCACCAAACATGTGCACATTTATCTGAATAATTTGTAATTATCTGTATATTACATTAAGAGTTCAGTAAAAATATTTGTTTTTAACTAAATTTTGATTCTTATGTCAAAAATGAATCGAATAAAATTGAAAATACCAAAGAAGGATATTTTTTTCCACATCTGTGGATCCTTGAAAAATTACTGTGTTACTTAGAAAAGCTTCAAACGTTTACTACTTTTTTCATTCACATACAATTACCTACAGAACTTGGTGAAAATTGCGCAAACAATACCCGAAAACCGAAAATATTTTAAATTTGTTAATACAGTAATTTTTTGGAATCGATTTGCTTCATATACAAAATTAATTACAGGTTAATTTAAATGATTGTTACACAATTTTCATAATAAATACCTTCTCGTATTTCTATTCACTTTACAATATTTAAGAAGAACTTTTTTCCATTAAATTTGAATCAAATCACTGCTACAAGAAAGCTCTTAGAGCAATGCTCGATACTAAAGATGTTTATATAGTAACGGAATGTCAATATTTCCGTAGTAACCCGCAGTTCGATTCATTCATGTTCATTTTTTTTTTTTATAAAAATATGAAATATCCTGTCATATTTAGTTTATATATATCAATAGTCGTACAGATATTATAATTGTCGATTATTGTATGATACTCGCTATCATATCAGCAACTTATTTAATATTTTCAGTCTAATTAACAATTTAAAGATCTTAAAATCCTGAGATTCGTCTTCACTTATAAACATTAATCAACACTTATATATTATTTTACAAAATATGCTAGTTTATTATCGTATTATTGTATAAATTCGTGAAATTGAATGTATAAAATTCTGTTGTATTGAACATTCCTTCAATTGAGTAAATATTTGTTTGATTTTTCTTGCTTATTCCTCGATTTGAACGTTTGAATTGCAAAAAAATGATCAAATATGTGATTGTAGTGCTGATAATCTAGATTTAGGAATAAAAAATTGATTAACCCAGTTGATTTATTTCCTTATTCTAAATAAAACAAAACGCGTTCTTACTGATGTTAAAAGACTACCATCAATTGAAAATAACCCACAAGCTGTGAAGTCCACATTTCGATGCAATAATTCTATCAGAAACTGTTCCATCTAAAATAATACAATACAAAATGTTTATATATTTATATAATTATGTAATATTTAAATAATTATATATGGACGGAAATTATTTACTTCATATTTTACTTGAGGATGAGTCTCGTTGATAGACATTAACTTTGAAACTATTTTACTAGTTCTGGTCATCTAAAAACAAAAAAAACATCCGTTACTTGTAGCTGAAAATGTAATAATAAAAACATCAACATACCTCTGTGGAGACAGAAGTGACTGAACTTGTCAAGACAGCAATTGGAAAAATATTTTTGATAATCCAACCCAACAATCTTACAATTTCTATCGTAGTCAATGGAGTTTTCTTATAAATCATAAATTCTATGAAATAATAAGAATCGTCGATCAATTCAATACACAAAATTGTTATACTTAACATCATCATCCATGAATAAAACTCTAAAAACTGATTTGATAATTCATAGAGGGTACGATGAGATTTTTTAATAAAGTAAAAATCAGTCTCCATATAATTATTACTTGCAACTTTTATACAAAACACTTTTGGTGATTTTGAATCGTAGTTTATATTATTATTCTCCATTAATATAAGTGCTTCATTCAAATTATAGAATTTAGTCTTCAATGAGATGAGAGCTAAGGAAAATTGGATCAAAATTCCTTCAATAATAATCTCAGGAAGTTCTAAAATCATTATATAAACCATTCCAATATATTCTTCGAAAGTTTCTGCTATACATATTTCAATATTAATTAAAATATAAATCACGAATATCATAGCTTGATAACATCTTCCAGTTTTAAGATTTTCATAATTCCATAAATTCTTGTTCAACTCAACTTCTATATTTATTAATTGACGAGTTAGTCTCACTAATGTTCGTTGTTTGATACAGTACATTAATAATATCATCACACATACACCATTCACAATTATTGCAAGAACATTTTCATATAAATTTTGAATCTCTGTAGTCTGGGTATTTTTTTCTTTTTTCAAATCAGGATCAAAATAGAAGAATAAAAATAATACAATAATAATTAATAAAAAATTATAAATAGATCCTTTAGTTGATTGATTGATCTTTATGGAGTAATTTTTGTTTTTTCTCTGAGAACCTGGTACAATATTCACAACAAAAGGAGCGAGGCCAAATATTTTAAAACTTAACATTGTAGAATAAAAAATAACAGTATCCAATTTGGAATACTTTTGTGTTGGAGTCATGTTTTTTAAGTTATTTATAAATATAAATAAATAAAAAGTAAAACTATCTATTTAATAGAAAAATAATGAACGAAAGCTTATTACAAACTGATCATTCGTAAAACAAAACGGACTAGAAAGTTTATAAAATCAATAAAAATAATCATAATTTGATCGAGGAAGGTGTTACTAATGGAAATTTATCTTAATTACAATCTGATTGCTATACTTGTTTTTCGAATAGATAGAACAATGTATCGTAATACGATCTATTTATATACATATAATATCGAACTGAACATTTTAATGTCCGGAACATCATCATTTGTTTACATGACAATGAGGTTGATGACCGAACTTTTATTACATCACTTATAACAATTCTGATGTATATTAATAATAATAACAATAGTAAGCTGCCAGCATGAAGTCTATTTTTTATAGCTGTATGTAAAAGAAGTTTTGTTAATTTGCAGTATCTATAGACGAATTTTTATTTTTTCCAATTTTTAAAAATGTGTAGAGAGCAGCACAGTGTTTCCCCCACGAGACGTTTTGAGCAGATGTTTTGATAGCTCCAAGTGAAAAACAACCTTTGTTGAACTCATAGGTTAGAAGCAATTAAAGTTCATTAGGTTTAGATGAAAGTTAATATAATTATTAGTTAAAAATTATAAATAAAATATTTTAATATGTCATTTACAACTAGTTATACTCCACACTATCTTTCAATGACTGATATTTTAGTGACTGAAGAAAGAATATCATGTAAAACAGAAGAACCTCTACCCCGTTTAGGTAAATATTTATAACTGAAATTATTAATTATTTATTAAATATTGAATGAAATATTCTAACTTATTTATTTAAGGTTTCCTTGACGTCACGTCTGATTCACCAGATTTAAAAAAAGGAACAAAATTAGAACTTCCATTCTGGTTAGCCCAATCATTACATTGTAGAAGACGGCCTATTGTTAGCGTAGAAATACCTAAAGTGTACAAAGAAAGTTACAGGTAGGTATTAAAGATAATTACTTCCTGTAAAATCAATTATTTAATGTCAATAATATTACATTTATTTTAGAGAAATTTTGGAAGCTGATGCATGTGCTGTGACATTAAGTAAATGGAATCCATATTATTATGAATTAGGAATGCTTGTAGCTCAATTAAATAGTCGTGAGAGTGAAAGCATAAAGAATTCTTTAATATTAGTAAGTATTTGATAAATTTAGCATAACAATGTAATTCTGATCATCATAAAACAGAATAATATGAAGACCATGATTTTTTTTTAATAGACCTTCAAATCTAGGATAAAATTAATAGTGGACTGGGCTCAAAATCCATATTCAGATGTGACTCTTTTTAATCAATTGCCATTCTTAGAGAAGAATTTGTTTTCGATAGGACGAAAAGCAAGAAACACATTGATAGATTGGCTTAAAGAAGGTAGTGGTAATATTGAAAAGTCAGAATTAGTAGCAAATTTCATGAAAAAGCGTAAAAGAGAAGAATTTGAAACTCATTGAATAAAGAAATTATTCTTTAATTATTTAAATTGGTATTTAGTAGGAAATTATGAAAAAAAAATTTACCAAATTACATATTCCTTTATTTAAAGATACAATCATGATTCTAATATTAGTAATAATAATTCATAACAGTAATAATGTTGATAATAATAATATTTTTTTATACAATAATAATTAAATAACAAGAATAAATTTTATGTACAATTGATCGCATTATTTAAACATGTAATGTATATTATTAGATCCCAAATCGTATTTTTGTTACAAATTTTACAACGTTTATAATCTAATAAAAAAACGAATCATAATACTCATAAAATTTTATCAAATTCCAAATTTATTTATTGAGAACGTATTATAATTTTTTCAATTAACAAAGAGACTATTAATGTTTACCCTAATAGAAAGATTGTTCTTATTTTATATAAAATATATTTTTTTCATTTTACTTAAATGATGGTACATGAGCAAAATATTTTTGGTGTTTATGATCTTCGTTATTGAAACTCCACCTTCAATAACTTGAGATTTTCATCGACCACTCGGTCAATATTATAAAAATTTATAACAATAACAATAAAGATAAATCTCTACAAAAATGTAATAAAAATGATTAAACTTGGTGGAAAAATTATGACTATTTTTACGAAATAATAGTTAATAAACTTAGAATAGTATAACTAAACGTTTAATTTTTATATTTAATCTTCTTCATTGAGACGATATTTGATATTAATTGCATTGTAATGGCAATAATTATAAAAATTTGTATGCTTTACAAATTAATTTTTGATGCCTGAAAATATTTACAACAATATTTTGATGAATTTCCCCAAAAGTGGAATGTAATATATATATATATATATATATATATTATATCAATCAGTAAAATAATATCGTTAATTTTAATTTTTAAACATTAATAACAGCACCAAGATATATAAATTTTATCATTTGAATAATAACAGCAACAATAATAGAAATAATACATCAACATCTGAAGCAATATTGGTATAATAGATATCAAAGCTCTTATAATAATTATTCAAAGAAATTTTTGACAAACTGCTAAACTCATAAACAGTGATTATTTTTATATTTATTACTGACTCACTTGTCTTTAATGTTGGAAATTGCATTCATGTATAATATCAAAATAGTTATTTGATTATTATAAATAATCCTCTAAAATTATTCATTATTATTATCCTCAATTAGAGCAAAAAAAAATTAGAAGAAAATTTTACTTTAATTATTCATTAAAAAGAATTAACAATAAATTGATGTTTCACTATTCAACATAATATCACATATTATGCGTCCTTATTCTACAAATTATAATTTTCACAAAATTTTATTCATATAAAATTATCAATATATTCTATTGATCCATAGCCTATACTTATATCGAGCGCTTCTTCTATTTGATTATGATAGGTATAATATTAATTATATTCTTAACATCTAAGTTAATATTGAGCAAGAGTTTGAGCACTAGGTATGTTTTGACTTTTGTGATTATATCGATTATGATGATGATTATAATGTATTTTAGAACTCGATAAATTATTTAATCTTAACTACTATTACTTTAACTTAACTCGAAACTATTTTTGATATAAAATATACTCTGGATGTATACAAATATTTTTATATAAATGTCAATTTGACTGGATCAAGGCACTTGGTTGTATATTTATCAACACTACACAATTTGAAATTGTGTAAACATTCATTTTACAATATTAGTATGATAATTATGTAATATCACTCTTATTTAGCTGTAAAATAAGATGAGGTATTCTTAAAAGAAGGCAAGATGCAATTATTGATCTTAAAAAATGTCAAGTTCTTAAAACTACCTCTTCAAAATCTAGTCAAAATGTTGTTTCTGTTTCTAAACTCGGTTCCTGCTTAAAAAGTCGAAACCCCGTAACAGAATTATTTTCTTCATGTGAAGTAATTGAAGTTAAATCACGTAAGATCATTACTGGACTGCCTGCACCTAGCATGTGGTCTTGTGGACTCAGAGGACCAACATTAGCTGGAGTTAATGGGCTACTTGGACTTTCATTACTACTCACGTAACTCTCAGGTGGGTTAGAAATAGGTAGAGGAGTTGCTGTACCATTAAGTTCAGTAGAAGCACCTCCCAATAGCATTTCTTGAAGTAAACTATCGATGTGGGCAACTCCAAACAATCTTACAAACTGAATTTGTTCAATCATTTGCCAAGAAATTGATTGTAGAGCTGGTAGTGTTAAAAGAATTTCACCGAATCGACCTCGACTGTCATATTGACGATCACTGATATAATCTTCAAGATTTATTTGGATTTGATAACGTAAATGCTTTATTCGTGCAGGTTCACTCAATCCTTTTGCATCTGAAATATAAATTTTTTTATTAACAACAATATTCTTAGTAATGATAAAAAAAATAGTTAGCTTACTTGGATCGAAAAATACTATGGCTTTGAGGCAAGCAAATTCCGTGTCATCAATTTGAACTTCGTTCAGGGGCTTGACCAGTTCTTCCATTATTCGTATTCCAACTCGGCTCATATCTAGGTCTTGATTACGTCCTTCTGCAGACAATGATATTACTGATAACCACGGTTATACCGTTCAAGTTAAATAATCGCGACTGAGTCCGGCTTTGTAGAAATGTCAAATTTAATTACCACACCAAATTTGCCATGCATGCAAATTAACATCACACAAAAAGGCCGAACTCAGCCAACTAGCTACACCCCAATAAATCGTGCAAAATCTTGAGTTGTCCAGTTCTTTAAGTAATGTACTAAATAATTGTTAGCGATTATCACCATCCAAAATTACTAACAAGCATAGAATTTTTTTATTTTACTGCAAAACACAAGATAATTTGCTTGTAGTTAAAAAACTAGACAAGTCATACCAGTTTATTCATTAATTTTTTTTGTTGATGTAATTAAACACATCTTCCAACATTATATTGAATCAATTAAGGTGCTAATTACGCAGGAATAATCGCAGAAAAAAAATAATATCAAAATAGAACTACTGTGATTAATATCTTTGATTTTTAATGCTAAAAATTGCAAAAGCAATTTTTAAATAAACATAAAAAAGTGCGTACAACGCTTAAATTGCGAGGAAATGAAGTGGTATTTTTTATTACAAAAAAAAAAAGACTGAAGAAAAAATCTAAATGACTCATTGAAAATAAGTAGAGCTCCTTTTATAAATGATTACACGCTAGTCTAGAAATACAAATTGCTAAAATCGAATAGTCTTTTCAAATTGTAATTTACAAATAGATTATTACATCTTTTTAAAGCCTCTATGCAATACTACTATCATCGAATAACATACAGATGAACAAATAAAAAATTACGCAAATTTGTACCCAAAAAATTTCTACAAATTTACATAAAGTTAGTAGTTGACTAGTTTATTGAAAGAATTAGTAAACATAAAATGATATCATCTTATAAACGGCAAGTAAACGAGCGAAAAATCCTTTTAAGTTAACTTACCAGGACAACTTTTTGTAATAATACAATTATTGCCTAGTAGTAAGACGTCATTGAGATGCATACTACGCCTTGCTACACCAAGAAGAAGATGTTCTCCAGCATGTGCCCTAAGCAAAGCAACTTGATCATCAAGGGTGAGTTCACTGAATGCAGGAATATATTTCGCCCACTCTACTAAAATTAATAGTTGCTGTTTCATGCTGTCACACACATCATTGATGTTTGCTATCTGTTTATTACTGAGATCAGTCTCATTACTTGGGCTTCCCAGTTGCTGAACCTAGAATACATATCATTCTAAATTCATCAATCCATTCTTATTCTACAATCTTTAATTTATTCAGTTATTATATATGTAGGATAAATGAACCAATAGGCCTGACCTAAAAGATAAAAGAACCATATGACAAATTTAAATATTTTTTCGTCTAGAAACTTTGTCGAATAAAATTATTATTTTTATGTAATAAGAAATTAAACTGGAATGTTTAATTGTGTAACATTTTTAAGATAATTTTTACAATAATATAATTACATTTAATGTATAATTTATTTATTGACTGATTATCCTATTGTTATTAAAAACACGACAAATATTGTTGAGTAATATTATTTTTAATGATACCGATTAATAAAATTTCAAAATACATTAGTCAATCTGTGATTCGAATTTTTCAGTAAATTATTGATGAAATATGTTTTGCTTCATGTTGGTCTTTAACAAAGTAGTAAATATTTTATATACTTTAAGTGTTAATAACTAATTCATGAACGGTTCATTGACGACTCATTCTGATGACCTCATTGATATCTAGTCTATTCATTCTTAACAAAAATGAATTTTCATATGAAATGCAATGAATGCGGCAATTTTAAAATAAATTGTTCTAATTTTCATTTCAGAAAACCACAAAAAGCCATTTACGTTGGTAGTAAAAACATTTTGAACACAAGGCTTATAACATTTCATTTACATTCTTTCAATTTATTTTCCAGTCAGAAACCAGACAATTTTAACTCACAGTGAGCTATTACTCACATTTTTGTGCATTAAAATTAATATAAAATACTTTTAACTGCTACTAAAATATATTTATGATCAAGTAGATATATATTATTTTACAATTTGGATACTTGGCTTGAATAGTAATAAAATATTTGTAAATAAATTATATTGAAATATTGAGTTTAAGGAGGAAAAAACTCAGGTATTGGTGTTTATTAGCCCGGATATTTCCGCGGTCAGACATTAACGGTCGTGGGTAAAGAATATAAATATTCAACAGCGAAGCTAAATTAAACTGACCTCTAAGGCCGCCCCGACTTGTCTGCTGAGCATTTCAGCTTGAAGCAAAGAGACAACGGATAGACCACCTCCATTGCTTGTCTGCTCTTCATAACTTGGTCTTCTACAACTTATCCGGTCTCGTTCATTCTGCACCGCTAGAAAATAGTAACATTCTTTTAAATTACCTAAATTAATTATTAACTTTAATTACCACTTCACTGTTGATGAATTTAATGAGTTTCTTAATCACATTAAAAATTCCATCAATAAAATGAACAATCAATTTTTTATATCTACTACTTTTTCTCCATTTTTACTATACCTGAATATTAATGGATAATTATTGTTGAATCATTTTTATTCTTATTAAACTTTCCAATATTAATAATGAATATTTGATTTTTTAGCCTCATAAAAAAAAATATTATTTATGATATTTTATATTTATATTCTTTTTAAAAGATTGAATAAAGTTTGAGAAGAATTGAATAGGATCAAGTATGAATAATGTGTATTTGTAGGAATATAAATAAGTATTTTTTATTTTTAACAATGACATTTTGATTTATAGATGGTTGAAAAAAAATATATAATTTTTTAGATAAATAACTATGTAGGTACTTTGAAAAATTGAATTGCAGTTAGTCATGAATCTTATCAATTTTACTCTACTGAATGAATATTTCCAATTTACCTTCTTTCTTCATACCAGCTTTAAAGCATTTTCTTAGCCTGCAGTATCTACACTGATTTCGTTTGTCCTTATCCACAACGCAATTTCTGCTGAATCTGTTGGTTACAGAAATCATTACATGTTTTTGCAACTGAATAAAAATAAAAATATTTAATTAAGTGAATGCCATAAATCCAAGGAAAATTCATTAAATATTATTGAATATATGATATTATTTATCATGTACTTTAATTATATTCGAAATACCGATTATTCCACTTTTTTATTATCATCGCTACACATTGTAATTGAAACTCAACGATGTTAGATATTACTTTTTTTCTAGTCATATTGCAAAAGTGTGTGTATAATTATAAATTATGATAATAACTAACCTGCACGTGTACAAATGATTTTTTCTAACTGAGCGCCGGAAAAATCCTTTACAACCATCACATGAAGCTGCACCGTAATGTTTTCCTGTTGCTCTATCACCACAAATAGCACAGTGTTGGGATAAAACACCACCAACTCCTGAACCTGGAATTCCGAGGACTGATCCTCCTGTACCACCTGCTCCCATACTCAGATCAGCATCTGGAAAAATATTAATCATTTATTAATATGTCCATCTTAATTATTAAAATTATTATTACAGTATTAAGAAGGGTAAAAATTTTTTGTTTATTCAAAATTCATCAGCATCAGTGAAGATATATATATATATATATATATATATGTATTATGGAGAAAAGATTTTTTTAATTCAATAATCATGATTTATTTTTAATAATTCATATTTGAATTAATATAAATCTATAGTTATCAATAATTTATGCAGTCAAATAAATATTTTAATTTGTAAAAGTATTCATCGAAGTAGGTCATATGTGCAGTATCTTGTAATTTTATTGTAATGGATGGAAATAATTTATGACAATAGTTGATGAGAAGGCTATAAAAAATTCAATTTTTATAGCAAGGACTGGACAGAAATAATTTGTAGATAAATAAATGATTGAAAATAGTATGAATCTAAAGTAAATTTAAAAAGGAAAATCTCTAAAATTATTTGCTTTATCAATATGAATCTGTTTAATTAATTAAACAATGAATCATAATTTTTTTTCATCATCAAATAATTAATCAAAACTTAATAAATGAATAAATAATTTAATTCAGGGTTTTAAGATAATATTTAAAACGTAACCATTTCTTTTTTTAAGTATCTAAATTGATAAATCAATAAAAAGGATGAAATCATTTATAGGAAAAAAATTAAAAATAATTCTTTACACATTATTTAGAAAGCTTATGTGATTGCGTGGTTTCTCTTATCAAGTATTGAGTGATTGTATGGCGCTACATCATCATATATCCAAAATCTTGTTTCTACGAATGACTTTATCGTACGTAGACATATTCTCATTAATACTACCGTAAAAGTCGAGGGTCGAGATAACAATTATCAGGAGGGAGAAATCAACACACTTATATTGTTCATCATGTGTAAATAAGTTGAAAGATGTATGTATACATTCGTTAAGATCAGCACAGCATTAAAACTTATTCTCATAGCGACAACATCACACGTGTTGGTATAATGAAGATAGTTAAAATTTTTGCAAGCAATACTATCGGTCATGCGCCAGATACAATGAGAGTATTAAAGATAAGGGGAGGGAAATGATTAGCCTTGAGTGGGAAAAGGTGATGGCTTCAATTTATCGTCGTTTGTTTGCAACTAATGTATGTAGACAGTGGAAAATTAGCCAATTGTATTCAAAGTTGTTTTTCTTCATTTTGCAATGAGATGATGCAACATTTATTTGGTCTACGAGTTCATAAAAAATTACATGAATCACTTATTTATCAAAATCAATGACAAAAATGAAATCACATCCCCTTAACTTTGTCTTCGAAATATTTTGTTTGGCAAAAAATAATTTAATTATGTAATTAGAGTGGAATAATTCACTGGATGTTTACATTAGCTTTTTCCACAAATCGAACGTCAATACACAGGAAATAATTTATGGAAAAACATTTATTTATTGGGTTAAGTACTTTAATTAAAATTGAGTTATAAAAATTCATGAGATGTCTATTGAATTATTTCTTAATACTTAAGGTTCAGTAATTATTTCTAGGTATATGGTGATTCTTTGCAATTTTAAAAACTGTTTTTAATTATTAATTAACACTCATTTACTTTGTAATTTATTTTGAAAATATGTATTAACAAAGCTATGGTAGAATACAATTAAATTCATAAATGTTAATGGAAAATTTATTAGGACTTATTTTTTATTTGTGATTGTTGAAAAAAAAGATATTATCATAAGAATTATCATTCAATATTTTCTTATATTTCAAATAAAAATTTCATTTTTAGTCAATCATTTGAAAAATCTTGTTAGTTATAAATAATTATGACTAAATAAATAAGTAGTTCATGTCGTTATTTTTTTGTTTATTTGTTTATGAGTCTTGGTAAGAACTGTAATACAGTTATAACTATAAATAGACATTTTGTAAAGTGTAAAATAATCAATGGAATTTTTCCAAGATAAATAATTATCAATTTATGTAATGTTTTAAATAAACAATCGAGAAAGTAACTTTTAATAATTTTTAAATGATCATGAGTTGAAATCATGATACGAATAATAATCACAAACAATTTTTTGTTCAATACACAGTTAATTTTTTGTCTGATCTTTATCAAAATTATCTTTCACAATTTAATAAATTCTATGAAATATCGAAGCCGTTATTTATCAGCTGTTTGATATAAGTATTACATGGAATCTCCCAGCTTATAATGACAGAAAAATACAAAACAAAAATTTTTTCATTTAAAATTAAATTTATTTTAATTTTTTAAGAGAAATGAAAATTTTCAAACAATCATCTAGACTGAATACTCGTCATGTATGACGTTGATTTCTTACAGGGGAATTCTTTAGATGACGCCTAACCTACCGCAATGTTATGGATCCAAAGTCTAATATGTGACATCGCTGTTATATCATATTTACTTCCTACGTGGCATAACACAATCTCTTTCGATCTAATCAGATAAACTATTCAAATATTCAGGGCGAAAGTGATAAAAGTTTGTATTACTTGTCACACTGTTTACAAAAGTGATTTTTGTTTTTTCGATTGTTAATTCTTAATATGATGATACATTTGCTTATCAACAAATATATGCATTTTTAATTCACATTTAAATAAATGTTATTGCAACAACAATGTGATTTTAACAAACATCTACTCTCTAAATAATTTTCATTCATTAACTTCATTTCAAATTTTAATTGTCATAGTTATTATTCAATTTAAAAAATACACTTTACGTTCATTGAACCCAATATATTTTCACTTTCACTGTTGTTAATATAAATAAAAATTATTATTTCAAACAATAAGACTTGTCTTTTATGAGCTTTTTACTTTTAGTCATTTCTAAATTGTTGATAACGATAATAAATATTATTGCACAAGGAAGCAGACATTGGTGTTTATGATAAATGATAAAAAGCATCAAAGTTATAAACATGAAATATAAATTTTTATAAAACATGATAAATGATTGGATGTAAAAGATTTTTTCTATGAAATTTTAGTCTACATGAAGGTCGTTGATGATATTAATGCTTTTGTAACTGTACAGATAGATGAATATCATCAAATATTATTCATATGTTTTTATGTTGAGTGCTTCGACCTCGGATATTCGTCAAAATCGATTACAGAAAATAAATAATAAAAGGAAGCATATTCGTCCAGACGAAACTTACTACTACTTTAGGCATCAATCAAAAGATTACACAAGTTTTATGTAGGTACCAACATATCTGTATGTATCATGTAGTACCCACTAATATTTATACTACTTAATAATTTCATAAAATATTCACTGATGTTTACACATTTATAGAATAGTCATAACGCAATGCTGTCTCTACTCCAATGAGCTCCACAATTTTTCATTACATCATACAACAGATAGTTCAATGTAGAATAATAGACACTGTCTTTAAGTTTTACATTTGATACTGACATGAAAAATTACCCATTATATGTCAGCAGTTAATCAGTCAAAATTAAATGAAAAAACTTTCATTATTCTAGGTAATTAGACATTAAAGAATCATTGAAGATTATTTTGCATTTCATTATTTGTATTCTTCACCAAGAATGATGATAATTAATTAAAACTAGATATCAATAATATGAAAAAATCTGTATCTCGTTAAGATGTTGATGAGATATAAATGAAAAAGTTCATTTGTTTCTTGTGATAGAGAGTTAATTTTGTTATTTCCAATTTAAGTAAATACAAATAAAATAATAAACAAAATTGAAAGTTTTTTCAGTTCTTATTTGTTGTTAATTTTCTGAGCATGAATGATTAACAGCAGAATTTCTTTCAATGAAGATTTATATATTGGTTAAATTACTATAGTTATTGCAATGAATTTACTTCACTGATGCTTGTTCAATTAATGTATGCATTGACTATAGTTTCTAGTGCGATTCGAAAGATCTATGAATTATTAATGTCACCATTGGGAATTTTAATTGAAGCAGGAGATAAAGTTAAAGCTTTATAAATACAGGATGACAGTGAAAAGTTGTTGGAATTAAATTCGTAATTTAAATTTAATAACTTCATTTATCCTAAAATCTGATTCTTATTAGACTTCATCTTCAAAATCCATCACTATCCAAAAATAATTATTACACATTAAATATTTATTCTTTTTAATGATTAATATTTGCAAGATTTAATTCAATCTTATGAAATGCATGTGTACTGATGCTAAAGAAATGGAAAATAGCTGAAGTTATTTTAAAAATGTATATAAGTTGATGATAACACATTAATGTGTTATTTTAATCAATGCATATTAACAAAACATCTATATTAAAGCATTAGGAATCAATGAACATAGACATTTATTATTATCAATAGCAAATAGATAATACAACGAAATAATTGGGATAGATAATAAGAACAGTTGATTTTAATGAGTCTAGTGTTATCATGCTTATTATGACCGTGCAAATTTCCTAGACATAATACTACCTCGAAGTCAAGGTTAATGAACATTACAAAATCTTGGCGGCGATAGTTATACATGTGAGGAATATTTTCTCAACTTTTTTAATAATGATGGGTACAATTGTACATTTAAGTGTGTATAAATAGTCAATATTAGACTGAAGAACCATTTAAAAGACTCTTGAAGCCTCCAGGGCATTATTTGGGCATGCTATGATCATTATGAAATCATTACGAGTGAGTGTATGATGTAAGTAAATAAACCTAACAGTCTGAGGATACAGTCCTTGAAAGTGCATTATATACATAAATATAGTGAAAAATAAAATCTGGTATAAAATGTGAATATTTAATGATCTATAATTCATTTTAGTCTGCATATTTTATCGAGATGTAGACTTTATGAGGTAACAACTCCTTGATTATTTTAATGACACTCATATTATATATATACATATTTTTTTATTTCAATGTTGTTATTATTATGATCATTATCATCATCATAATTTTTTGCAATAATCACTGCAATCAGGGATTATAGAAGAGAAAGCTATGACAGAAATATACTTTGATGAAAATGCATGTCATTTTATTAGTGTAGATGTAGTATAGAAATTTAGTAGCCATCAACTAACCGATGATGTGCTCGTAATATCCTTTAAGTAATAAATGATTCTAAGGTACACAGAAGTAGTTCCTTATAACGTAACATTTATTACAGTTAGATTACCTTTCTCCAATCGTAATATCTATTGATTTCGTATCCGGCGATAAAAAAATTATAGTTAACTATACACTGCTTTTTAAATATCATTTTTACCACATGCTTTACAATTATAGAAAGTACGTGTAATGTAACATATGTTCGAATTAAAATTTTTTTTTTATTACAATGTTGATCCAGTTGATGGTTTCATTGTAAGTCGCTGAATACGGGAGGTGTGTTAAATAAATTCTGGTAGAAAAAAATTATTTTCGTTTTGTTTGAAATAGTATTTAAAATCAATCACGCACTGTTCAGTAAATCATTAGATAAATTTCCGTGTAAAAAAATTTCCTGGTAAATAAATACGGTATTATTACCGGGTTACGTCACTTTGTGACAAATATGACAATCGTGCTAAGCATTTACTAGCAATCCTGACTATGTACGAAATTTATTTGCGAAAAATGTTTGATCAGTAACTCATTCTAATGTTTACCTTAATGAGAAGTTTTTTTTGTTTAAAAAATAGTGAATTTTTAATAAATAAAATTATTAATTTGCTAATAAATAATAAAGTAGAAAAATCTAAGTCATCGTTTGACTGAAACATTTATTACTTTTTGCATTTTGAATATTAATGAATTTTTTTCTTCGTAAATCATAAAGAGATAAGGTTTTTCCAATAATTCAATCATCTGTATGATACGAATTGAAGTAATGAAAACTGTAGTGAAGTAAGTATCTATAAGTGCTGAGAAATTGAGAGGAAAATATAAAAATAGGAAAAAAAAACAGAGGAAAAGACTGTGTCCTCGAAGTCATATATGTAGACGAGGTAGCGGTCAAGTGTCAAGACTCTTCCATATAGAGTTCTTGTAATTGTACATACTTAATTGCTATCTCGTCTAATATAAAAAACCTAACAGGTTAACAAAAAGTTTCTACTCGCATTTTTCTGCAAGTAATGTTTGCCTTACGCGTTCATTTTCATAATTAGCACGTCCAGTGCTGTTCTAATCTCTACACCATTTCGAGAGAGCGACGATTATCGAGTATACAACTCGCGTGTCTCTAGACGGTTAGAGAAGGAGTTGTCAGAAGTGTGTTGCAATAATACTTTTTCCCCTATCTGTCTGATATTGGAATCTTTTCAACAATCTGGATGCAAACGTAAGACTATTTGATCGATGATTGCTCTCTAACATACATCTAATCAATAATTAAATGTATTTTTATGTTTAATGACTTGTGTAAATGCGTGATGGTATGAATTAAAAAATGGAAGGTAGTAAAAAAGGTTATTAGATTCATTCTCGAAGTAAATCCATTCTTGCGTTCGTAATAAAATAAACATTTTTTTTTCGTCTTTTTCATTTTTATCAATTGGCTCTATTTATTTTATTACAGTGATTAGGGAATCTTTTTTTCATTACAATACTAAAAAAAATTGTCATCATCAAAAAAATAACTCTAATTAATAATTAAATAAACTTAAAGTATGATTGATAATTTAACAATAAATAATTGTGTGAAGCGTCTTTTAGAATCATTGGAGTTAATTTTTTCCGCAGTATATTCAATCAAATATAATTTTTTAATAATAATAAATCTTTTTAACCAACCAAATATAATAAATCGTCTATTACTGTGGCATTTTCTCATAAGAAAATTACTTTAAATAATATAGTAATAAATTTACAGGACATATTTATGGATTTAGATTCCTTCTGTGATGTTGTACATTATTTAAAACGTGAATAAAAAATCAAAAAATGCTTCAATCATACAGTGAAACAAGTCATTCAATAAATTAACGTCAATTTCTCTCGACTGTAGTTAATGATAGAAACCCAATTATTTTTCAACAATCAATACACTCATTAAGCCATTTATCATTGAAAGAAAAAAAAAAGTCAATAAACAATTTTTCCAATATAACTTTCAAGTTTATTCTCGAAATTATTTTAAAATAAAAAAATTTAAACATTTTTTCTAATAATTAGTAATTATTTGGGTTAATAAATCCATAATTATTCAAGTATTGTAAGACAATAATCATAAATTTTAAATGTACAGTCATGGATTACAATCAAATCTCTTTTGTCCGGATTTTTTATAGTCGATTGTCCATATCATGTTGATAAAATATTATTTACTATTTGCAAAATCATCGGAGTAATAAGTCTCCATAATGTATTGATAGAAACATCAATTAGCTTCTATCCTACTCTTTAAGTATCAACTCAGACTATAATTTCCATTTTTTTCAATCGTCAGATAATTGCCGATTTTTCTACTAGTTTCTATAATAACTCTATAACAATGTAGTATTATTTATCGATCAATCTATGATGACTTCAAGTGTAATAATAAATCAAAAATTTCGAGAAAATTATTTTTCCAAGAAGCTTTAGCAAATGACATAATGAAATAAAAAGTAGAAAAATACTTGTGAATTAAGGATGACTTTTTTCCTTCATTTGTGCCTGCAGTCAACGATAATGGAGTTTTGATAGCCCCTCTATGTTTTTTTTTATATTTTTTATATTTACAACACTTTTATCATCAAACTTGTCTTTTTTCAACTCCATTATCAAGTGACATAGAGAAAATTCATGAGGAAAAAGATACTATTTAATTGAGAAAACAAAACCTTGTTCAAGTTATTAAGTATTTAATTGACAAAATAAAAAAAAAAATAATAAATTTGTTCAAAACAAAATCCTTGAATACCTGCTTCTGCGTGCTGTATCTATTTGGGAGTCTCAGAATGACACGGTTAACCGCTAGCAAACACGCAACGAATCGTGTTTCTTGTACACGAACTATTTCACATGCGTATATATTAAAGCATATACCTACTTACTCTGTTTCCGATAAATTTATAAAAGATTGTGCGCAATATGTCAAGAGTAAAAATGTGAGGAATAACAATGGATTAATCAACAAATTAAAAATCATTAATTGAAAAGAAAAGACAAAAAATTACATCAAATGATTATTTAAAATTAATACCTGCTAATCCCATTGTTGATATGAATATGTATTTTAAAAATCGTCTTCTTATTTTCTTGAATTTTGGAATTATAACCAATATCTTATTTTTATCCCTGACCAATCAGTAGATAAAAATAAGAAGACAAATGGTATCAGTTGCAGTACCAGTTGGCTCTTCTATCGGCACAGATAGAAGGTAGATTTAAATGATTTAGAACTCGCGTGCTTCAACACTGACCAAGTGGTATACTGACGAGTGGTGTTCACACACAAGTGAAACAATTAATAAATTGAAAGTGTTGTTAACAGGTTTACAGGGAGTGCACGAGCGTATGTATCATTGACGTTATCTTCGTATCTCGTTATTTTCTTTGTTTAATTTAGCCACTGTCTTCGTTTTTGATATTTTTTAAAACTTTTTTTTTCCAATTGTTGTTATTATTTTCCCGTTTGTTGCAATAACAATAAAAGTGATAATCTTTATATCACGAACGAACGCAAATAATTGTCAGCTTGGTGGTTATGCAAAAGAACGAAAATAAATTTTGTTCGGGGACACGACTGTTCACAGACTCACGAAAATCTGTCGTATTCATGGGCTTTTTTTTCTCTTTTTCCGAAGTGATGACGAAGAATCTCCAGTCTTCACCCATTTCGTGTAACCACGAGATAGATAAAGACATAAATATGTCCACAAAATAATTGTCAAGTCTCTCAGCAATGACCAATGATTGTTGATGACGTTGTAAAAATATATCCACGAAAGAGGGAAAAAAGAGGGTTATCGGTTGAATATATTTTTTTTCCTCCTCTTCTTCCACTCTTTCTCTCTCGTTCCTACGTATAGATATATTTATGAATATTAGCCGTCTCTGTCTATCACTATAAACCACTCGACGGCCAGTCAGCAACTGGGAAACAGCTGTAAATGCACGCATGTTTTGCGCCTCACATCAACTCTCCAAGACTGTCGCGTGTGCAATAGTGGGGGATTTAAAAAGACGAGGCAGAATCGCACACGCCAGTCATAGATCTCGCAAGATTACAATCAGTTGAAACTGACAACTCTATTCACTTCTTCATTTTTTTCAATCTATTAACTACTGGATACAATTAAGCTTCATGCATCATTTTATTCAGCTGTGGTATACCATTTTACCCCATTTATTACAATTATTTATCTATATCTGACCTAATTATCATTTATTTAATGATCATCATTAGCAAAATAGCAAAATTCGACAATAATATGTTCGTTATAAAAATGGCCATTATTATCATTCTGATGTTGGACTAGCAAAGACAGTATTATTGTGTGATATATAGATCAGAATGGAAATTTACAAACTTGTTTATATGCGTTATTCCAAGCTTTATATGTACACAAGAATGATAACCATGTCATGAGTTTTATTTTTTGTGTATTAAATCATTTTTTGTCTTAAGAATTGATCGATGCAACATTTTAGGTCGCATGTCAGAACGTAACAGATCATGCCCAATGAGAGTTCCAACGAGTAGATGTTACATAGTAGTTAATAGCCAGGTTAATAGACAGGTTGAGACATAACAAGTCTCTTTGAGTTGCTTCACTTTGTGTTCCAAGACATATTTTTATGCAACAGACAAATAAATGAATATCTGTCGTTACAATAAACCAAGCACGCATTTCGTCCTGGTCAGGAAGTCGTAACGTTCATGTCACGAGATTGGAAGGTCGACGGATGTTAGATTTGTCGTGATATCTTGATGTAAATTAGCTATGAAGGGTTCCGACCCAGCTTTGAAATCACTCTTCATCACAATTGAATCATGATTGTAACGATACCAATTTTGTTTTTATTTTCTTGCAATCGTTAGGTATCCTAGAGAATCAAAATAACTAGTTGGATTGTCATGTGATTTAATCATTTGCGAGAATAGAAGATGATTAATTATTAAATGTCAATAGTTAGTGGTACCAAGCTAAACTTGAATTCGAAATCAATTTTTTTTATCAAATAAGTTTTCTACAAGATGTGTGGTTGACAATCTTGTTTAAGTTAAACAGAAATTATTTAGCTTTGATTGAAAAACTTAGGAAGTTTGGAATTATTACAAACAATAAGAAAAAGTTAAAATTATAAAAACTAGGTAATTATTAAAACAAAAAGATCATCTTAAGCTTCAAAAAAATGTTAGTAAATCAATTCTATCAATCATTTAAGGAAGTGAATCCTGAGTTATTGGAACAAAAAAATATTGCATAACTTGGAAATAATTTAACATATTTTTTCACCACCTCTGCAAGCTACTGATAATATTAAGGATCACCTTAAAAATGAAATAATAATTATAATAATAAATTGATGAAATATGCTAATGCATCCAACCTAAGCTTATCATGACAAAGATGATCCAGCCTTGAAGAAGACATGCATCAATAATATTCTTAACACTGCAAGTCATGGTCTCTGAGAAACACCTTGGCTCTTTACTCCACGTGCATATGACAGTTCTAAAAAGCTGGAAGACATTGCTAAAGTATTATGTTATGCTGTTTACGTATAGTTATAAATGATGAAGTCATATTTTTTGCTATTTTTTACCAATCACTTTCATATTCGCTAAAAATATTCATTGTGTTATTGTGAATGATTAAATGAATTAAATGTTCATATAGTCCTTAACATTTAATCAAGTTTAACAAAAACTCGTAATCAAAATATCATTTTTATTTTTTTGATATGAAAGAAATTTTTTATCAATTAATGTGTTAAGTGTGAAGTAGAATTTAAATGATATTATTGGAACAATACTGATATATTATAGATTATAGATAATGTTATTGAAAAAAGTTTCAAGTGTCGACAAGTGTAGATCAATAAAATTATTTCGTTAAGCTGATAAAATTTCTATAAGAGCATCACTATTTTATAAAAAATTATTTAATTAAAAAAATATCTTTAAAATAGGCAATTTGAATGGAAAAATGCATTATTTAACCAAAAAAATAAAATAAAATAATTAATAGTAGAGTAGGAGAGGAAACTTTTTCGTTAAAATTAATTTTATTTAAAAAAAATAAATAAAGTTAAAATTATCCGAGGTATTTCTCAATAGTCCAATTTCCAGAGATATTTAACAAATATAGCTAAGTAATTAGCTAATTTCTCCGTTTATTTAATGCCGGAAATTATTCTTCAACGGAAAATAGACTTAAATAACTGTGTAATAGTTGCGACAAAGCTACCAATTAACTTAACTTATCGTAAGAAATAAGTAAAGTTATTGTACAGTATGAGAAATTCGCCATGGACAAAGCGGTTGTCGCAAAATGAGTCAAGTTGTCTGATAAACCAAGTGTTAGTTGCGACGAGTAAGTGTTCTTGTTCCTGTTGACGTATACAACAACGACTGGAAAATGATTCACATCATGATTTTATTTCAATATTATTAACACGTATATTTTTTAATTACCATTACTTGAATATACTTTTGATAACTCTAATCAACTTTATTAACTTAAATCTGATTACTGTTAAAAATATGATATAAAAAATGTCACTCTTCTCTTATTTTTGTGAAATTGCGGTTTGATAAAAAATTTATGGTTTTATAAGATAAGGAATTTTGAGAATCGTAATCAGATCTAATTAAGATAACCAACTATTAGAGTTCACATTTTAGAAAAAAGTTTTATTCTCTTTACTAAATTATTATCCATTATTTTCTACTAAATTATAATGTTAAAATGAATATTTATTTATTTTGTTTTGATTATGTTGATTATTTCAAGTAATTAAATGATTATCAATAATTAAAATAAATTCTTTTCATTCAAATCACTTTATCATAGTGATATTTGCAATCTTTAATCTTCGAAGATGTCATATAATAAAAGTAAAATTATATACACAATATTGCTCACTGATACTTTGAGAAATATTTGAATACACATTTGGCACCATATCATAATAACGTATTGCAAACTATTATTAAAATAAAAAAGTTACATGTGTTTTTTTGCTGTGGAATGCTCGAATTTTCTAAGAACTTACATGACCTCAGCAGGTCTTAAGAGTAATAGTTTTACTGGGCGAAATAAAAAATATAGAAAGAATCACTCAGTTGAAAGAATTCATGTTAGAGTTTCTTGCAGTAAATATACAGCATTTAATAACTGGTTACATGTAAACTTTTCAACTATACATTTACTGTCATCGGCAAATTAATTATGGTATTTGTTTTATGTTGAAATACATGACTTTCAAAAGTAATAGGCAACAAAAAATTACATTATATTCAAATTTTCTCAATCACCTTAATAATACCAAAAAAAAGAAACATTGATGATGTTGCTGATGGTAGTGATAATTTTTGATAAATTTGAAGCTAAAACCTTGGAGCAAGTTATTGAGTCATCATTAAAAATTTGCACGTTTCATCTTGACTTCATGTAGTATTCAATTATACAATTCATCAATTTGGAAAAAAAATGATTGCTGTTGAGATGCATCAGAATGAAGGGAAAAAAGGCTAAAGAAATAGTCAGGGGTTCATTTTTTGACGTCAATAGTAACTCCTATGATAATCAATTATAATGTACCTGTATGATATTCATCATTTGTTAAGGTTGAATCTTTAAATTACGTAAGTAAAAGCCATCTTCTTAACGAATGGTAAGAGGATAGTAAAGTGGTCCGCGTTGGTGATGCTATTTGTCTATACAATGTAAAGAGTGATGCGGACACTCATAATCGTCGATTGGCACAATGCATTTACAAGGTCATGGTAAAGATACCATTGGCTTACTCAAGAATTTTACATTAGCATTTTTGTGATGTTTTTATTTTTAAATAATATTTAACCTGGCTCTACCTTTATTTACCCACGTGTAGATGGGTAATTCATAATTTTAGGAAAAGAAGAGTTTGAGTTTATGTCATAATTATTTTCATATTTTATACTTAATCATTTTCATCATGTAAAAAATTCACTTTTAGTTATTAATTTTCATCTTTTAATAATAAATATGATGTATAAGACAACCACAGTCTATGGTAATTCAGTGAGAAAGGAATTGTTAGCTACAAGGGAAGTTCTTTCATTATTTGATATAACAATTAACAGTTGATGCTGTCATTTCCCAAGTTTCTAACATTTCCTAACTCCAAAAATTAATGAGAATTTTATTCATCAATAAAGATGTTTCAATTTTAAGACAAACAAATGTTGGAGAAAAAAATAAAAATTCCTTTATTTACTTTGTTCTCATTTATTTTGAAACATTATTATAGTATCCACTATGAATCAACATCAAACCTTACTGGTGTAGATTATAATGAAATCTTTTAAACAATAACAATGTAAAATGATTCAATAGAAAAGAATAATTAATAAAAAAACTTTCTGTAAAGATCAATCAATTAATGATAAAAATAATTACGATTTCAATGTTTTAGTTGAAAATGATGAGCTAGGGATTTCAGGCAAATTAGCAATTTCCATCAGCAAAATATTCTGAAATAGTTTCTATCTTGGTTCTATATTCATTTTGTATTCAGCCATTTGATTCTACACAGAGACAATTTTTTTTACTAAATTTAAGTGCAAAAATAACAAGTACACGTTTCGAAATTTAGAAGTAAAAATATTTCTATCCAACAGTAAATTTTGAGTTCTAGTAAGTAAACTTGATACTTAAGAAGTGTCTTAAGTATAATCTAATACTTACTTAGGATAACTCAAAAATTACTTAAAATAGTAGTAATAATTTCATGAAATATTCGATTCCATCATATTTCCAAACTTTTTTATTTAGATAACTGTTTTACAGTTTCAAGGACTAAAGCATTATATTATATACCTATAAATGATGACTATTATTGAAGATTAAACAGCTTTACAGCAAAAAGATTAAACTGTATAATCACTAGTGGGTAATACTGTTACGATAATAGAGATTAATAATAGAACAATAATTTGATGATACCACTGTAGTTAGTGATTAGGAA